CAGCCCCACACAGCCTCCCAACCCTGCCGCCCGTGCCATAACTCGCCCACCTCAAATCATAACTTACTGGTAACACTTCAAGCTCACCAAAAGTTCAGGACGGAAGTATCTGCGGGCTGTGACCCGTGCACTGTCCCTTCTTCCCTTTCAAGCCTGTCCCTGCAAAGAACATGGCTAGCAGGAAACAGGTGACACTGCAAGAGTGATCACTGGGGCTCGGAGTGGTCACATCAGAGAGGGCATCTGCGCTGGGCACCTCAGAACACTTTGAATCTTGTGCCACATGTGTGAAAAATCTGTACAAAGAGAATGAACCTGCTTCACCAAAGGGGACCAGGGAAACAAAGAAAAGACAAGCCAGGTGTGGCGGCCCATGCCTGTAATCCCAGCTGCTCAGGAAGCTGAGGCAGGAGGATCGAAAGTCCAAGTCCAGCCTGGGCAACTCAATGAATTAAAGAGATCCTGTCTCAAAATAAAAAATTGAACCAAGGATGGAGCTGAGTGTGAAAGCCTTGGGTTCAATCCCAGCATCACACACATACACACATGCACACACAGGTGCACACACACATACACACACAAATCAAATCCCAGCTCCACCAATGGTAGTTTCATGACCTTGGACAACTACTTGCACACCCCAAGCCTTGGTTTACCCATCTGTAAAGTGGGATGGTGCCCATGTCAGCACTCAGGAAGCACAGGGCAGCGGAACCAGCCAGGGCACGGTTACCCAGGCAACAGTCATTTCCTTGCCTGCCTTCTCTGCCAAGCTCCTTGATAGCAAGAACCACAGTGTTGGACTTTGGACCCCAAACCTTCTCCAGCTCCCAGCACGATGGTTGCCTGAACTTTGGGGCACAGGTCGCAGGCTATGGGAGCTTCCAGTCCCGCTGCCTTCCAGCTGTATGTCTGGCATGGTAGATGTACTGGCACAACCCCAGCCTGGCACGGCCGCTGTTCTGCTGCCCACAGGTGCTCTGCTTTGCCGGGGGGCCTGTCTGCAACTCCTCTCGCCCTTCAAGGCCCCTCCTCTGCTCTGCTCTGCTCTGCTCTGGTGCCTTCCCCTGTTCAGGGCCCTTGGCACAGACTCTGGAGCGACTCCTCCCTCCCCGACTTCATCGTTAGCTGTTGGGGACCAGATGTGCTTTGCGTCTCTGCGTCCCCAGTGCTCAGCACAAGGCAGATGCCCGGGGACATGTTTGTTGAATGCGTGAGTGAATGAATGAACGAGTGAATGAATGAATCATCCCTGACCCTTCAGCACCCACAGGCAGCCTTGAGGGAGCCAATTATGGTGACTCACCGATGCCCAGCAAATGCCCTGCAAGTTCGGTGCACGGGGAAAGTGTGACCCCTCTTTCACATCCCACCAGCTCCAGCCCAGCAGCTGCTCCTCTCGGCCAGAGAGCACACCGAGAGCGGCCTAGTCCCCCCGAGCTGGAGTTGGAGCTGGAGCTCCGAGGCTCCTGCAGCGAGCCTGACCTCTCCTCTCCCTGCCACAGACGTCACCAGGGCTCTTGACCAGGAGCTGGGCTAAGACACAGTCCCTGGCCTCAGGGTTGAACAGGTGTGGAGGAGCCCGTCACCAGCTGTGACTCATTGAACGCCTGCCATCTGAGCTCTGCACGGTGCAAGTCCCGACGCCTCTCTGTGCCTCGGTTTCTCTTCAACGGGGGTAGAAGAACCACTGTGTCAGATACATCAGGACAGCTGGGCAGATGGAGCCAGATAATTAGAAAATTTGATCTTTAAACGACAAAGCCCTTGTACCAATGTGACTGCTGTTGCTATGGGATGATTTACACCTCGTAGCCTGCACCAATGAATAACTGGAGTCTTCGCTCTGCAGCCACAGGGACTTGCACATAGTGGGTGCTTAGTTGATATTTGAGGCACTGAAATGCAGTCCACGCACAGGTCCTGTTTTCATGACTGGGAGAGCAGCACCACCTAGTGGCCAGAATTCGGAACGCATGGCCTTTCCGGTACACGGGACTTCATGGGGAGGGGGCTGCCGAGGTGGCGTCAGGACAAATGGAAGAAAAGTCAGTCGGACACTGCAGGATTTGGAGACACTTCTTCTCCTTACAGTGACACAGGCTTAGGATACCATCATGTGCAATAAAAATCTGAAGCGACATTCTATTTATGTATGCATTTCGGGGAGAAATAGAACACCCGAGAGCCCCCCAGCTGTGTGTTCAGGCCGTCTGGCCAGGCTCTGTGCAAGGCACTGCTCTTTCTCCATCTAAGAAGTCTGGCTCTGCCACTCACATGCTGGGTGACCTTGAGTAGACCGCTGCCCTCTCTGGGCTCCAGGTGTCTCTGTACAATGAGGTCATGAGTCCTCCTGCCCCGGCCACCTCAGAGAATTGTGCTGAAGATCAAGTTATTTAAAAGGCACAGCTAGTGTGGCCCAAGTGTGACCGATGGTGATTATTATTACCTCTAATAATAGCCATAGGTTCAGTGGATCTGTAAACTCATTTCATTCCTACTAAACCCTACAAAACAGGCACTTTGGAGTTCATTCTGTAGGTGCAGACACTGAGGGTTAGAGAAATCTGAAGGTTTTGCTCTGTCTTTGCAGTGTTGGAGATTGAACCAAGACCTTCACACTGACCCGAGTCCCCAGCCCTTTCTCAGTGAGTTTATTTTGAGACAGAGTCTTGCTAAGTCACTAAATTCCCCTACTTGTGATCCTCTGCCTCAGCCTCCCAGAATTCTGGGGTCACAAGTGGTGCCTTTATGCCCAGCAGAATTTTGCAGTTTTGCCCAAAGTGACTCTCAACAAATCAGGAGGAGAGTCAGCATTTGAATCCAAGACAGCAGGGTCCTGGGGCGAGGGGGAACCAAATATAATGCTATGTTCTCAATTATTCCCTCAAAAAAGAAGAAAACAATTAATTAATTTAAAACAAATACTGCTAGCTACTGAATGAGGATTTAAGGGGAGCCCCTGACTTATAGAAATGAGAGCCCTGATAAAGCCAAAGAATTTTTGCGTTGTCCCCTCTTTTGTCCACAAAATTCTGCTTCCTTCCCCCCTCACTCCAGCACTGCCTTCAACTTCGGAGCCTCAGACGAGAGGACGGTCCCCTCCAAGATCTCGGCCCAGCAGACGGCGCTGAAATCTGCAGGAGGCGGCGGCTATTTTTCGACAGTCAGGGTGACCCTCGGGTGTCCAGCGTCCTCTTAAGCTATCACTGATTCAATATTTGGCCCTCGGAACTCTCCCTCGGGGTCAGAAGCTGCAGCCTTGTGTGACAAGAGGAAGCAGGTCCAAGATAAAGGGACTTATCTGAAGCCATCAGGCACAGAGGTGGCTTAGCCAGGCCTCAGGTCCAAAGCCCAGCAGCACAGACCTCTCCCCTCCCAGACAGGATGTGGGGAGGCGGGACCGCTTCCTGTCAGCAGCGTGGCTCCTTTGCCATCGGCAGCTGTGTGACCTCAGACGAGCCAGCGAGCCCCTGGGCCTCGCGTGCTCCACGGCACAGCTCCCTGCCAGCTCTGGCTTTGTGTCCTCTGCTCCTGTCCTTGAGCCATAAAGACGAGGGTGTTCCGCAGCCTCTGCGGGTGCTGTCGAGAAGCAGCTGCGACTTAGGCTCCCTTGGGAAGCTTTTCCTGACTGCAGGGGCTGAGTTATTATCCTCTGCGCTCTGCGGGCACCCACAGCACCGTGCTGCACTGGATCTGCCAATCCCCAGAGGGCTGGACACAGAGTGTGTGTGAATCCCAAGAGGACTGGGCAGGGACCAACAGCGGTGGAGCAGACCGTGACCAGGCAGAAAGCCCCCAGCCCCGGGGCAGCTCCTGCTCAGCTGCAGCTTCTGGGCACAGATCTTAAGCAAAGCCCCAAAATCTGAAGTTTTCGGTGAAATCTACCATTTGCAGAAAAATCTTGAAGCACCTTGCAGTTATAATACCCACAGAGTAGCCACCTCTGTTTCTCCGCTGGCCTCTGTGCTACGTGAGAGCGTGCCTTGGTGCCTGTCTGAACACTGAGCAACCAATCCAGGGTTGCATCCCACCCCGGGGAACCAGAGATTGGCTTGGAAAGATGTGTGGTACAAACTTGTCCTGGCAGAGCCCCTTCCCTCTAGATTTCCGGCAGCCACATCCATCCACAGCCATGGATTAAGTGTCCACTGCTTGCCAGGTACTGTCTTAAGCACAGCACTGCACCCTCTGACCGCATTCCCACTGCCTGCCTGGGTGGTACACATTATGGCTCCATCCATTTCACAGGTGAGGAAACCGAGGCTCAGACGGCCACCCGACTGGCCCCCCCAAAACCACAGCAGAAGCCGAGATTCAAAGTCAGGAATTCTGACCCCCAGATGTCTGCTTGCATTGCATGAGACCCTCTGAAACAAGGCCTCTCAGGACCTCCCGGAGGTGGGATGGGGCGTGTGGCACGGATTGAAAAGAGAACGACACCGCACTGCAGACAGCGGCCCCACGTTGAGAGGGGACCCTACTGGCCAAGGGCCGCCAAGCCAGGCAGGAAAATCGCTGCTTGCTTGGGGCCCAGCACACCAGACCCCAGCTACCAACAGAACAGTGGGGCGGAGAGACGGGAGCAAGCCAAGGCCTGGCTACTGCTCAGCACATTGAAACTGTCAAACACTCTATAAATGAGCTAAACGGTTCCGAAGGAAATGGGAATCTATTTTGTCTCCTGTCGCCAGGGCTGCAAACCCTGATATATCTCGGGTGCAGCCGAGGAGCGGATGGCTCAGCACTTGGAGAGATGCCCACACGAGGCAGGAAGTGGGCTGGAGGACGCAACAAGTAGCTCTCTATTCTGAGAGCTGGTCCTGTGACGGGTGAGTGTACATCCAGCTGAAATAAAAAATAACTCTGAATGCCAGCCGTCAGAACACACAGCGAGCCTCCTTTCTTCTAGGCGGGTGGAGCACTCACTGGGGCTTTAATCCTTCCAGGTTTTCTATTTTTAAGTTTTTGCTGGGGCAGCAAAGCCCTCGGGAGGCTGAGGTGGGCTAGTGACTCAAAAGCATACTTTGCCCAGGAACATGCAACAGGGTATTAAAATGTTACAGTCCCACAAGGAGTCTGCCTGGGGCAGTGTGTCCCCAACCCTCAGTCTTCCTCATCTCTAAAATGGGCATAGTGACCTCTCCTTCACTGAGAGAGAAAAGTGTAACATGGGTTATAACTTAAAATTCTTTGGGTTTTAAGAAAGTTTTACAGTGGAACTAACACATATTAGGCATAGTCCAGGGTCTCTGGCGCTGAGGTCCATAAACTCTTGACTTGCTTTATTTTGTTTTGCTTTGTTTTGTTTTTTGTTTTTAAGGCAGGATCTTGCCAAGTTTTCTGGCCAGCCTCAAACTCGTGATCTTCCTGCCTCTGCCTCCTGAGTAAGCTAGAATGACAGATGTGTACTACCGTGCCCAGAAACTCTTGAATTTTTCTGCAGCAAAATGTATAAATAGTCATCCTAAATGGGATAAAATAAAAACTCTAAATTACCTCGCATCCAATTCACATCAGGTTTACCAGGAAATGCTCGCTCCATTTTGGTGTTCAGAGCCTTGGGGACTTTAGAATTGGAAATGAGGTTTGCAAGCACACCTGGCTTTCCACTCAGGGTGACCAGCTGACTGACCTTCAGCCGTCCGCCTCATCTATAAAAGGTGGTCCTCAGAAGCCCAGCAGAGAGGCTTGATGTTCCACTGGAAACAGGTCTACCAGACCAACCACGCCCTTGGAGAGCTCTCTGCGGGATGCACAGGGTCTGCCTGCACACCAGGCAGGAGCAGGCTCCCTTTAACCAGGCTTTCAAGTCTGACGCACACAGGGAGCATCCATCAGGAATGGAAAGCACAAGAAATAAACTGCCAGCTGAAGTGGGGACTTTTGTCCCCCTGACAGGCCGTGCTTCGTGAGGTTCCACGGTCTTCCAGGGCTGCTGCAGAAAAGGGAAATCAGGCCAAGCGATGGCTTTAGTCAAGGAAGCCGTTATCACCAGAGCAGTGTGTGGCCCTCTCTCTCGAGGTGGCAGCTTTGTCCAAGAAACAAGGACAATGCAGGAGCCAGGTAAGCCCACCACTGGGCACGCCAGCCACAGCTCTGTGACTGTCCCCTTCCTATTCCCTCCTCGGAGGCCTCCTCCCACACTGATTCCCCAAAGAGGGTACCAGGGAACTGACTGGGTTCCCCTTAATAAGCCAGGATCACATTCCAGGTTCCCCTGTGGCCTGGCTCCTTTGGAAACTCCTAGCATGTGATGGGTCCCAAGTTCTTCAGTCACATGTTTGCAGATGACTAAACTGGTGACTCCAAAAAGGCCAGATGGTCCATCCCTATGATGGCCACAGCGCTGCTCCCACCCACCACGCTCCTGTAGTCAGGTGCCTGGCCCAGCAAGACTCTGTGACTCTGTCCCTTCTCGGGGACAACGGGCAGACTTACTAACTCACGGGAAGTCAACCACTTACAGGGATGGGATGATGCCGTGTGCCTTCTCACTCCAGACCCTAGGTGGCGCTGCAGCTCCCAGCTCTGAAGCCAGTCTGATGCTGGCCCCTAGACCGCCATATTGGGAGGAAGCCCAGACGCCCTGTGAGGACTCACCACATTCTGTCCACTCCAAGACAAGGTGGACACAGAAAGAAGGAAATGCCTAGCAGCCACCGGCAGCTCTGGCCCCACTATGCCTAACCTCAGCAGCACAAGAACCCTGGGCAGAATCCACCCAGCAATTTCAGACCCACAGAGGACAGGCACAGAGATGGCACTGCTGTGTGTTAGGTGCTATTTTTGAATTTGTATTAGGACATTTGCTGTACAGACTTATTACATGCATGGAGGCCTTGGTACATGCAAAATGCACATTTTAATGTTTAACTTCTCCTTTCCTCCTCTCCTCCTCCATCTCTCGATTCCCTTCCCATTTACAAAGAATCCATCTCCCTATTTCCTATTATCTTTTGTTTTGCACTTTAACTTATTTACATTTCTCATGTAAGAGAAACTACGATATTTAGGCTTGTGGGTCTGATTTATTCCACTTAACAGTATGGTCTCAAGATGCATCCATTTCCACAGAGACGACTCAAAATTATCCTTCTTTATGGCAGACTAGTATTCCATTGCATATCAATAGTTTCTTTATTCACTCATCTGTTGATGGGTGTATAGGCTACTTCAAAGATTTAGCTGTTTTGGATTGTGCTGCTATAAACATGGATATACACGTATCACTGTAATATGATGTCTTTTAACTCTTTCAGGAAGATACCTACAATGAGTAGAGCTAGGTCAAAAGGAATTTCTAGGTTTAGTTTTTCGAGGAATCTCCACACTCATCTCTAGGACTAGTTTACATTCCCACCCATGATGCAGCAGAGTCCCCTTTCTCCATAGCTTCCCCGGCATTTGTTAGTATTTGATTTCTTGACCCTGGCCATTCTTTCTGGGGTAAGATGGCACCTGCGTTGCTTGGATTTGTATTTCTCTGATGACCAAAGATGATGAACATTTTTTAGACACCTGCTGGCCATTTGCATTTCTTCTTCTGAGCACCTATTCATTTCAATTGCCCAGTTTTGACTGGGTCTTTCATTTGGGGAGGTCTAATTTTGTTTTCTTGGTTCTTTGGATATTCTAGGTATTTGCCTTCTACTGCTGGCAAAAAAAAAAAAAATTTCCCATCTATAGGTTGTCTCTTCACTCTGGCTTGTTTGTTTTGTTTTGTTTTGCTGTGCAGAAATTTTTTAATTTGATGTGATCCCTTTTGTTGACTCTTGATGTTCTTCGTCATGTGACAGGGTTCTGCTCAAAAGGTCCTCACCCACACCTATGTCTGCAAGAGATTTACCAGTTTTATCTTCCAAGCTGCTTGTCTGTTGAATGACTTCTTGCACAGGCACAGAAAGCCAGAGGGGAGTGGTAGTCTACCTCCTGCCCCAAGGGGGACCACACCCCCAGCTTATGAGACAGTTCTGACACCTTTCTCCTGGCGTAACTGCTGACAGTGACCCCTTTTCTCCCCAAAGTCCCAGATGTTGATGGTAAATTTCCTGGTCACCCTACATTTGGCCAAGTTCTTGGGACCCGGCGTAGATCCTGGCAGCCGCTCTTCCCCTCAGTCCAGCAGGAGAGATGCAGATGCACGAGGTGCCGCATACGGAGTTCAAGAAATCAATGCTCTCTCTGGCCTCCTAATTCCGTTCTGCCTGAATGCTCAGCAGTAGTTTTGCCAAGAGCTGGCTACAGGGGCAGACTCAGCCCCTGGAAATCTACAGGACGCTTCCCCCCGCCTGGGCACACCCCCAGGGAAAGACAGGACATCTGGTAGGCAAATATAGCACTCCCCCCTGCCCCAGTGCAGCAAAGCAGACCCTTTCCTGGGAGCCTGGGGCTGCCGCTGCCACTCTGGGTGGGAAGGGAGAGCAGGGGAGAGACAGAGAGAGAAAAGGAACATCCGCCACCAGCCTGTGAGGCGGGGAAGCCAAGGACACAGAACTGCTCTCAAATGCTGCTTCTGCCCTTTGTTCAGTGGACCAACTACTCACCAGGCCAGAGCCCCCTTCACCCCCTGCATCAATAGGAGGGCGGCTGACCGTCTGGGGAGCCTCAGATAGCACCAAAGAGGTGACTGTTTATGTCAAGCACCCAGCACTGTGCCTGGCATCCAGCCAGCACTCAATAAGCGTTATTTCCCTGTGCGAGGGCTGCAAGTTCCCATCAGAAAGTGCGCTCCTCTTACCTGGGCAAAGGTCTTCTCAGGACAGAACGGTACAGCACAAAAGATTGATCAGAAACAGCAAGGATGGCGCCTCTCACCGACAGAGGTGACCTGTGGGGATGCGAATGGAGGGCCTTGAGGATACTGGTGGCCCCCCCCCTTTTCAGTGTGCAAAAGACTTCTGTCCTCATTCCCTCAGCGAGGTAGGGAGCTCTCTGAAGACAAGAGTCTCACTTTACCAACCATTATCCACAAAGGGTCCTGTCGCAAAGGTGCAGCTCCTGGTAACACCAGCTAAATGAAACATTTTACACCAATGCTTGTCCTTCCATTCATTAAGTCAGTCAACAAATATTTACTGTGCACCTACTCTGTGTCAGGTGTTGTAGCAACTGGGAACACCGAGCTGTTCCCATCCCATCTTAGGGGTACCCTGTGTGATATAAGACACATTGTATTAGTTTTCCCTTGCTGTAACAAACATCTAAGGTTAAACAGTTTAAAAGGGAGAAAGGTTTATTTGGAGCCATGGTTTTAGAGGTTTCAGTGCATGGTTACTTGGGGCAGGAACCACGGCAGAGAAGGCCAGGGACCAAAAAGAAAGAGATAGCAAAGGGCCAGGCCCCAACGACCTGACTTCTTCCCCCAGGATCCACCTCCTTCCTATAGCAACAAAGGCTTCAGCACATGAGCCCTTGTGGGCCCTGTCAGATCCAATCTACAGCAGACGCACAAGAACCAAATAAGTGCACAGGAATCAGCCAATCACTATTGCCACAGTGTCGGGCAGAAGCACCGGGAGGCCAGGGCAGGGGAGGAGCAAAGCTGTCCCCTAGGTCGTAACATATGACCAGCAGTGGAAAATCAGGCACACAAAGGTCCCCTCCCAACAGAGACAGCAATTCGTCCAAGTCCCTGGAGGAGAAGGAAGGTCAAAATCAAGCCCTGAGAGAATGCAGCCCGGCAGCCCCAAGCAGATGCCCAAGCCCACAGGTCAGAGGCAGCCCATCACCTGGCCGAGGTCAGCTGGGAAAGGACAGGGTGACCCTGGGGCAGAAGACAGAGGAGAGAAAGCCTGTGCTCAGGACGGGGAGTCATACAGGACATGAGGAGCCTCACAGGGAGGGTGGGCGCCCAGGAGGGACACAGGGGCTGCGATCCCAGGCCCAGGAGAGAGCGGAGGGATTCCCGCATCGTCATTTTGTTAGAACTCTGACAATGTGGACGGCCTAGGAAAACGAGGACCACATAGGGCCTTGGGGACACCGAGGCACAAAGGGACTGGGTGTGTTCATAGCAGGGGTGCGAGCTCTCCAACACTGAGCCCTTCCAAGCAGTGGCGATGGCGGCCAGGCAGCCAGGTGACGAGGAGGCGTCTTTCAGGAGTGAAGGACAGGCAGAGCGGCTGGAAGCTTAAGGGCAGCCTCAGAGACCTCCCTGCGCTCCCAGGCTACGAGTGCTAGGAATCGCTTCTAACACACAGCCCATGGTGGCCTCTTCACCCAACTGTCACACAATCCCTTTCCCACGTCTACCCCAGCCCCCCAAAAGGCCAGCGCCTCCCAGAGATGGAGGCCCACACCCATCCTCCTCCCTGCCGCACTCTCCACACCTCGCCCTCTCTATGCCAGATGCCCAGAAGGAGCGCCAGGATTACATGTTGACTGAGTAAATGTTGTCCAAGAGTTGTGTGGCCTCAGGCTCATTAACTCGCCTGTCTGACCATCTGTAAAACTGCAATTAAATTACAATCGTGAACCTCAAAAATGAAATTCAGAGCCTTGTCACACTGGTGGGCTGCCGTTCGTCATTCAGCTGCCCAAAGACGGGTTCATGAATGTCCTAACTGGAAAGACGCTGCAAAAGGTCCTTTAGAGCAAAGGTTCTGCCTCCGACCTCACATTTTCCCAGCAAGAACGTTAACTTTTGATTCCGTATCTCTGAAAGCAAGCTCCAGAAGGCACTGGGTGCAAGAAGCCTTCTGTGGGCAAGCTCTTCATGCCAGGCACTGTGCTGAGCAGGCAGGAAACCAGCAGGTCTGGGGCCAGGAGGTGGGAACACTGGCAGCATGGCCCAGCGGGAGGCAAAGCACAGTCCCAGAGGACTCTCCCGGCACTAGGGACACACAGAAGAGGGGCTGTGCTCAGGGGGACTCAGGCATCCCACAAAGCTTTTCTGAGGGTCAACTAGTGGAAAGTACCTGACTAGGTGCTGGGAGGACGAGAGAGGACACATAAAGTCTCAAACCTCCTGAGGAAAGAAACAGACCACATAAAACACTAACAGGACATGGAGACGAGTCGAATCCAGCTGCCCTTTGAGCCCAGAGCTCCAGCATATGGGAGTATCTCCCCGTGCCTCTGTAACTTCACCTGTACATGCACATGATGGGGCCATCTCCCAGGGCTGTGCTAAGAATTGGACTTAGGCTCCTAAAATAGCACCACGCTGGCCACACGGCTCTGTATAAGCCAGTGAGAGAGCAAATGAGGCCTTGGTGAGGCCAGACAGAGTGGCAGGGAAATGCCTGGCCCGTGAGGACACAGGCTCATGAAGATCCAGCTGATGTGGACACCAGGCACCAGAAGACAGCGGGTGAGAGGTGAGCATCTTGAGGCAGAGGTCTGGAGGGGAGGTGTGACCCAGAAAGAGGAAGCAGAAAGGCAGGGCTGTCCCTGAGGGCCTTGCAGGCCAGGGAGGAGCACAGGTCTTTATCTTCTGGGCAGGGACAAAAGGGAGCTACTCAGGGATTTTCAAGTGGATATGGGGAGGGGGTCATGCTCTGATTTGATGCAAAAGCAGGGTCAACCAGCTGTCTGAGCATGGAGTCAGATGGACAACAGACAGGCACAGGAGTATCACAGGGAACAGGCAAGATCTGCCACCCAAGCCCAGGGACCCACTACTGAGAAGGAGATAGGACACTCTAAATCCTGCTCCAGCTGGCTGAGAGTGGGTAGGACGGCCGCTACGATACAGGAATGAGGATTAAACTCTGACACAAGAGACAGGCTGCAGCGACGGCCCTGCAAAAGAAAAAGAACAAAGGATGAAAAATAAGATAGCATCCAAGCATTCGGCAGAAGTACATCTCCCCATAGATACAAATTTTTTTTTTTTTTTTTTTTTTTTTTTTTTTTTTTTTTTTTGGTGCCTGGAATCAAACTCAGGACCTTGCACTTGCCAGGCAGGCACTTATGCCACTGAGTTATAATCGAAGCCTGCCTCTATACTTTAGAGCACATTAGTTTACCAAGGATCTCAATTATACTAACATTGATTATGTACTTATGTGTCCAGGGTAACACGCTAAATTCATATTCCCATTATATCTCATGACACTTTTCTGTCCATCACACAATTTAACAAATATGCATTACCAGATACTGTTCTAGGTAAGAAAGACAGAGCCCTGCAGCTAAGCTTCCACTTCAAAGGGAGAGCTGGGGGCTAAATGATGAAACAATGTTTCAGAGAGCATGAGAACTCTAAAGAAAACAAAGCTGAAAAGCTGAGTGAGGGGCTAAGGGGTGGAAGGAAAAATTGTTATTTTAGGAACAGTGTCAACATTTTTGTTGGGGGAGTCCTGGGGTTGAACCCAACACCTCACAATTCCAAACAAGCGTTCTCCCACTGCGCCACATAGCAGCCCAGGAGCTAACTTATGAACAGAGACATAGAAACAGGACCAAGCCAGCCATGGGTAAACCTGGGGGAAAGAACAGCAAGGACAAAGCCCCCACTGCGAGAATGAGGTGTTTTAATGTGCAAAAAGGAGACCGACCGAGGTGACCAGAGCAGGGGGAGCAGGATGGCAAGATGTGAAGCCGAAGAGTAGGGACCAAAGGAGGCGGGAAGCCCTTCCTATCTCACCCCAAGCACACCAATGGGAAGCTGTTAGAGACAGGATGGCGAACAGATCGCTTTGCCCACCGAGGAGAGAAGGAGTCTGAGAGGAGCAAGAGTGGATCCAAACCGAAAGGAGACGGTGGTAAGAAATGGCAGCATTCGAAGTGCATCTTGAAAGTGGAATAAAGACTTTACAGCGGAACAACAAACAGAAAGCCCCAGTGAACAGGCTTGGCACTGAGCATGATTCATCGGGTACCAGACAAAATTAAGAAAGCAAACAAAAATTAGGAAAATCGGAAGGCAGCTGAGACAACATTAATGGAAATAAGTGACAGTTGCTATGCTATCAACAGTCTTATGTTAAATATGAATACAGTGGTTTAGGGAAATCAAATAACCTGTACAAGTTCACCCAGCTGGTAAAGAATTAACAGAAAGTGGAAATTACTTTCACATATATTTATTTTATCCTTTATTATCTCCAATTTACAGGGAAGGAAACTAAAGCCTAAAGATGCAATTGCCAGAGCTAGGACGTGGCAGGACTTGAACACCAGATCTAGTAAGATATATTTTCCAAGTGCCTGCCTGGCAAATTCAAAGTCATGAGATATATATATATTCATTTCCCCAAAAGAGAAAGGCTTGGGGTTCAATTAGAAACGATCCGGGCTTTCAGTAAAATCCCTTCTTTTGAGTCTTTCTTTAACGAGACTCCAGAAGGGCACCCTAGAGTGGGATGTCACCATCTCAGAATCACAACTGCTAACTGAAATGCATACCCGTGGATTACCAGCTCAGATGCACCCAACTTGACTGTCAATTTGCGGAAGTCAGATCCGGAATCTGCACTTTTAAATTAGCGATCCAGAAAACTTCCTCGGCCCAATTAAGTTTAAGAACTGTGGAATTACGGTTTGAACCCTGGCAGCCATCCCTGAAACTGGCAGCCTAAACTACGCGGCCATTTGGCACGGCTGAGCCTGCGTTCCCCGCACTGTGGATGAGCTGGGGGGAAACAGCTCTGGCGAAGAAACGCCGCCTCCTTTCGCAGTGAGACTGAAACCAAGATGCTGACCGCGCGGGGCGAGGGAGCCGCGGGGTGTTCTGGGAAACAGCGGGGCCCAGCTCGCCGCGAAGCACTGTGGGACGCAGCGGGGCATCAGCCGCTCCTCGGCTCCAGCTTCGCTCGCACTTAAGGACGCCACGTTTCAATTCCGGGCGCCCTCGGAGGGCGTCGTGGATACTGTCTGACGTAACCACCCGCCTAGCGTCTCTGGGCGCCTCAGAGGCTGGTAAGAAACGCCTACCAAAAAACAGTGACGGATTTCCGGGTGTACCTTCGCTTTACGACTCCTGCGCTTTTCCGCCGAATCCGCGGAAAGCAGAAAGGCAATTTACGACAGCGCCGGTCGCGTTTACGGCGCCGGCCTCTGCGCGCGCATGTTCTTCCTTCTCCTGGTTCTCCGGAGTGGTGTTTGTAGGGCTTTGTCTATCCAGGATCATCTGTCGCCATCCAGGCCGCCCGGGGCCGTTACAGGTGAGCGGCGTGTTTCGTGGGGTCCTGCAGGTCTCTGGAGCCGGCTCGGACGATTCCTGGGCTTCGAGAGCTTCCCGGAAGAGACTTGTTTTACGTCTCCTGTCGTCGCTGTCCCTCGCTGGGCGGGGCTGGAACCGGCCTTAGGTGGTCCCAGATCGGGACCCTGAAGCCTTGCGGGACACGGTCCTGAGTGTGGGATCGTCGCCTTAGTCTCCTCCCGAAGGCCATGTCACTTGACCCAGACGGGTCACGGTATTTCCAGCGAGGCCGAAGGGTCCACGAGTTTCTCAGTGCCAACCTGAGTGTTCGCTCCTGATCGGAGGAGTTCAAATCCAAGTGTTTCCTTCCCGGTTCTGTAACTGCTTGTTAAGAGTCCATCTCTGGTTTGAAGTCCACCCCACTTCTAGGCAAGGGAGTAATGGCCTTGGATTTGCAGTGACAGTGATCTGCACGATTCATCTGCCAGCCACAGGGCCCCTCTCCCTCCCCTGTCGGAGCCTCTCCATCCTCCCGCTGTGGCCAGTACAGATGTCACATAGTTTTAGCTGAATAGTTCAGTTCCTTCTAGTGGTTCTTTTCTGCTCATCCGGTTTTGTATTTGTTAAAGCCAAGGGACATCAACCCCTGACACTGCTTCTCCAAGAGATGGTGAACAGCAAACCTTGGGTCTGTTCTCCATCTTGCTCCTGACAGCTAGATTTTTAAAACGTCTTCGCGACATCATTGCTGTATTTCGGTGTAATCTAAAAACCCAGAGTTTTTCAGGCTACTGCCTAACTATAGTGAAAGAAAACTAGACTTGTGCACACAACCCTGGAAATCAAATCTATTTGTGAAATACTGGGCAGCTAAACTGCTTGGTTTAGCTCAGCTTCAAATTATCTCGTAAATGAGAAGGTGGGGAGGTTCCTGGTGTGAAAAGTGTCCACCATGGTACCTAAGGCATGTAGAAGCTCCGTAAATGTTTTCCTAAAGTGAGTAGCTTTGAGACCACCTCTCCTTCCCTTCTGTTCTGCCCATAGCTTAGCTTAGAGGATGCAGCTCCCGGCTGCGCCATCTATTGCTGTCAAGTGTCATCTGTAGAAAGCCCGCGTCTCTATCAAGGGGTGTTGAGAGGTTACTATGTTGAGTACACCTGCAGTCCGATTGCTCTCCAGCCATCAGGAAATAATTGGTATAATGCATTTTGCTCTGGGAACTCAGCTGAGCATTTTCAGAAGGTTGCCCTGGATCCACCAACCATCTGTAGAGCTGCTGTTTTTTACTCTACTGAGATGAGCTACACCTTACACAGAGCGTGGATTCCAGAACTGCATTGCCAGGGTTCACTAGTGGGTTTTTATTGGTTTTGTTTTTGGGGTTTTTTTCTGTTTGTTTGTTTGTGTTGTGGTCTTTTTGAGACAAGGTCTCTCTATGTAGTTCAGGCTGGCCTTGAACTCAAACTCGCTTGGGTTCAAATTTTTCACCAACTAGTGTTGTGACTTTGAGTGACTTCTTAATTTTACAATGCCTTGGTTTTCCTGGCTGGAGAATAGGGATATCACTGGCTTCTACTTAAGATTGTTGGGAGGATTTAGTGAGTCAGTGCACAGTAGGTATGAAGAACAAAACCTGATACTTGTAATACTTAAGAATATTTGACATGGGGCTGGGGATTTAGCTCAGCGGCATAAGCACCTGCCGTGCAAGCAGGCGGTCATGAGTTCAATCCCCGGTACTGATAAAGAAAAAAGAATATTTGACATAAAACCACTTTTGACCTAAGACAGTGGTGGTAAAACTGTGGAACGCAGCATGCCACAGTGGGGTAGTTTGTATGGTTGAAAGCTCTAAAAGTTTGCCATCACTGGCTTAAGACTTACGGTGACCTCCTTGGGCATCTGGCAGGTCTTTTACCTATTTCTGTGTTTGTTTGCTCAGCACATAGGATTTTCGTTGATAACAAATTTAGAAGAACAAGAAAGGAAAATTAAATTTAAGGGATAAAGTCCAGATTCTCTTTAAGTACTCTGTGCATATAAATACATATTTGGAAGTCTGAATTTCATGTCTGTCACCTAACAAGATTTTCACAATGATCCTGTGGTATAAATTGTTAATTATCTTATGGAAGTTAAGATGTGTGCCTTAGTGCAGACACCTGGGTTAGTGAGAACCAAACACTATGAAAAGATATTGCTGGTGAAATCTGTGAGATGCCACTCAAGAAACATGGTTTATGCAGCACTAAGAAAGACAACGGCTGTGTGGTACTCCATCGAGGGTAAGGCTCATGATCCATTCAGAGTTAATGACCTAGAGGGTGTTCTAGAATTAATGAAATGTAGTAAATCAGTTTTGTTGTTTGCTGGCTTTTAAGTATTCACAGTCATTTACAAAACGTTAGTAGTTATGTTGTTAGCTCAGTAATTGAGGATCCTGGTTTTTATACTCCATTTTGAGTTTTGGCATTTATGTATCTGCTCATCCTGTAGAGAGGCTATTTTGTACTTCAGACCTTTTCTTCACATTGTTTGCTTTTTAAGGTTTTAGAAGATGGCGAAGTTTATGACACCTGTGATCCAGGACAACCCCTCAGGCTGGGGTCCCTGTGCAATTCCAGAACAGTTTCGGGACATGCCCTACCAGCCATTCAGCAAAGGAGATCGTCTAGGCAAGGTATTTGGCTGCCAGTGGGAATCTGGATCTTTTAAGCTGTAGAGACCATTTGCCACCAGTTCGTGTTGTGGTTTTGTTTTTCACGTGGTTAGTCTAGCCTCTGTGTACCCTATGGAGGTACCAGCTGAGAGGAGGTATGACCTGAAAGTCATCAGAGAAGGGCTGGGCACTCACAAAGTCATTGAGAGGTAGTTCTGATTCTTTGTCACATGGTGTCCCATTGTTTTCAGGGGTTTCTGGGCCAGTTAAAACCAGTCTGGTTCCCTCATGCATTCTGTCCTTCTTCATTGCCCTTAACAGGTTGCAGACTGGACAGGTGCCACATACCAAGACAAGAGGTACACAAGTAAGTATTTGTCACTGGCTGCCCAGATCAGGGCCTTGGGAAAATCGTTACTTTTTCTAATAGCCTCCATCCGAAAGCTTCCTAGGACAGGAAGGATGCCGACAATCACTAGTAATTTGTAGGAGTATACTCAGGGCTGTAATGACCACATATTTGGAATAGCCTCAGACTGTTCAGTAAAGAGGTCTGGACATTTTCAACCCCTACATTTTGAATACATTGTGTTTTGCATACCATTGCTTGGGATTTAACTTCAAGAGCCAATCAGTGAACTCCAGGTATCAAAGTACTGGCTCTAAGATTCTGGAAACATAAAAAGACTTTTTGTCTGCGCCAGCCAGTTAAGATTCTTTAGGTCCAGCCTGGTGGCATACACCTGTTGTCTCAGCACTCAGGAAGCAGAAGCAGGAGGATCACTGCAAGTTCAACACTAGCTGGGGCTACATAGTGAGACCCTGTCTCAAAAAATAAAAGAAAAATAAATTGTTGGAAATGGCTGCCTGGAATACTGAATTAAGATGTCTGAATGGGGCATCACGGCACATGCCTATTATCCGAGCCTCCAGGCTGAGGAAGGAGGATTGTAAGTTTCAAACCCAACTTGAGCAATTTAGCAACTTGCAAGACTATCTCAAAAGTTTAAAAAGTGTAGCTCAGTGCGGAGGCTCTGGATTTCAACCCCAGAGATGTCTGGGGCTTCGATCAGCAAGAAAGTATCATGATCTGTTGGACATGTTCGCCTTGGGCATCAGGTGACGGGAACAGTGATGTGCGCGGCCAGCCTTGCCCAGCTCTTTAGACCAGAGCTTTACAAACTGGGAGGTGCATGTGAGTGACCTGGAGACCTTGTGCTTCTGATTCGTAGGCCAGGTGGGGCTGTGAGTGCGCTCCTAACACGCTCCCGGCCAGCACTGCAGAGCCCAAGACCACACTTCCAAGAGTGAGGTGTCAGGCCAGTGCAGCCCACAGTGGTGGTGATTACATGCTGTCTCTGTGCTTCCAGATAAGTACTCCTCTCAGTTTGGCGGTGGGAGTCAGTATGCTTATTTCCACGAGGAGGATGAAACCAGCTTCCAGCTGGTGGACACAGCGCGCACACAGAAGACTGCCTACCAGCGCAACCGGATGAGGTTTGCACAGGTAGGCACAACCCAGCCGTCATGGGGCTTCGCCTGTTACATGTGCAGCCTTGTGAGTTCTAAGGAGAGAAGACCATATATCCTAGTCGTCTAGGGAAACCCAAGTGGTTGTTCAATGGAAAAATCTTGTGCTGAAGTAAACTTATACTGGGAGCAGGGTTGCATTCAGTTAGATTTCTGGTCCAGTAGCTTGGACATCATACACTGTCCTGTAAGTGAATGTTTGAACTGGATACAAAGTGCAGAGTAGGGCTGAGGATTCAACTCAGGGGCGCAAGGCCTGCCTGGCAAGCATGAGGTCCTGAGTTTGATTGCCGGTACAGAAACAAAGTGCAGGGTGTCTGCCGCCTCACTTAATTGCTGTATACAAACTTTATTAAGTAGATGGTCCAGTCAGGCTGCGTCGTACTACATAAAGAGACAAACTTGGCAACTTGAATTTCAAGACCAGTAAACCTCCCTCCGTGCAAAATGTGTTGGGAATATGAATGTGAGCTAATTGTGTCCCAGTAAAACTCTCAGACTGTTGGTGCTGTAGAATAAAAGGCCAGACTAAGATGTGAAACTTGGAGTTTTGCTTCCTGAACTTCCTCTGAAGACCTCCCATTAGTCCTAACCTATCGTAAGCCACATCTCTTTAAGATTTTAACATGGACATTTTCTCCCCAGCGGAATCTCCGTAGAGACAAAGATCGGCGCAACATGATACAGTTCAACCTGCAGACCCTGCCTAAGAGTGCCAAGCAGAAAGAAAGGTGAGATTGCCTCCTCCTAAAGCAAAGGGTGCTTCCGAGACTGGCCGTCCCTAGAAGTCGGGGCCAGAGTGGAAGGGTGGCCCTTTCCCTGCCACCGAAAAAAGTGAGAAAAGTTCTGAGGCCACTCGGTGCCACCATACTGCCTGCTGGTGGTGGACACGCACACCGAAGCAGCACTCGGGTTGCAGAGCACAAGTCTAGGAAATCCCGTTTCACCATGTCCTGTGGGGCCTCGTGGGCTGTGAGCACAGCTTGGGGGTGCCGTGCACAGCACCCCTGTAAGCACATCTGGTCAGTATTTGGGGGCTCCTTCTCCAGTGTATGCTCATAACTCAGAGGAGTCAAGGATGATGAAAAGGTTCAACTGGGGAAGGGCAGCTCTGCCTTTTAAAAAATTACTGACTTTAAGATCTGTGCTGAGTGGGGCTGGGGATTTAGCTCAGCGGCATAAGCGTCTGCCTTGCAAGCAGGCAGTCTTGAGTTCGATCCCTGGTACCGATAAAAAGGAAAAAGACCCAAAAAAAAAAAATCTGTGCTGAGATCTCCGTATTTTGTCTTTCAGAGAACGCATCCGGCTGCAGAAAAAATTCCAGAAACAATTTGGAGTGAGGCAGAAATGGGACCAAAAATCACAGGTAGTGGATCCATACTGGAATTCTGTCTGGGAGTTTGATTTTGTTTCGGTAACAGCTTTGAGATAAGACTCGGTTACTGTGCAGTTCAGTGGTTTTAGTGTATTCAGAGGTATACAGCCATTATTACAGTCAATTTCTGATCATCATCACCCTAAAAAGAAATTCTGTACCCTTCACCACCCACCCCCATCACTCTAACCGTAGGCAACCACTAATCTGGTTTTATCTTTGTATTTTCTTTTTGGGGACATTTCACATAAATGGAATCGTGTAGTAGGTGGTCTTTTTGTGACAAGGCTACTGTTACTTAGTGTCATGTTTTCAGGGTCCATCCATGTTAGAGCGTGTGTTGATACAGTCTTGGTGTCCGTGGAGGGTTGGTTGCAGTGATACCGAAATTTGCAAACACTCAACCTCTTACAGAAAACAGTGTAGTATTTGCACATGACCTAGGCATAGCCTCATCATCATGTGATCATCTCCAGATTCTTTAGCCTCAATATCCGTTACCCAAAATGCTTGGGACCAGCAGCAGTGTTTAGATTCTGAAGTAAACTAAAGGTTGAGCGTGCCTAACCCAAAATCAGAAATGCTGTCACAACAGGGAATCAGAGCTTCACATCAGCATTCAGTTTGAGGTTTTGGAGCGTTTCAGATTTGGGTAAGGGACGCTCAACCTGTAATATCCAGTACAATGTAGCATGTACATGAATAGGTTTTGTACTGTATTGTTGGCGAGACCCGATGACAGGAAGGAACGTGTGCAGATTGGGTGCTTTTCCCCGCGTGCTTCCTTCCGCCCCCACCCTTCGTTGTATGTGTGTTGGTCTGGTTTTGAGGTGAGGTTTCACTGTATTGCCCAAGTTGGCTTTCAAATCCTGGGCTCACTCGAATCTCCCCTTCAGCCTGTAGCCCACAGACGGGGCTGCAGGTACTGTACCCACCACCCCCAAAACGTTTCTAATCTACAGCTGGTTCAGGCTGCAGATGTGGAACCTGCATAGAGAGAGCAGACTATGCTTCATTCTTCTCTCAAATAAAGTAGCCTTTCATGGATTTGTCACATTTTGTCAAACCATTAATGAGTTGGTGGGCATTGCGTTTGTTTCCAGCTTACACTGTTAGCAGTAACACTGGTGTAGCGCGCGTGTGGGCGCCACACGGATAGTAGGCCCATGTGAGCCAAAGCACAGTGAGGGCTGTGGAGTTACACCTGGCTGTGGAGTTACACCTGGCCGATGCAGCGCCCGCTGTGTCAGGAATAAGCAGCTGATACCTGAGAAGTGGTGCAGGGGCCCTGAGTGACACCCTTCCCTCAGAGTGAAGTCCCCTAGTTTTGAACTTGATTCAGTCTTTCTGGATTACGAGGTCTTAGGAGGCAGGGGCTCTATCTTCTGCTTTGTACTTTGGGTGGGCTGTAACATTTTTTTCCCCTCAATGGTTTCCCACTGCAGAAACCCCGAGACTCTTCAGTTGAGGTTCGTAGCGACTGGGAGGTGAAAGAGGAAATGGATTTTCCTCAGTTAATGAAGATGCGCTACTTGGAAGTGTCAGAGCCGCAGGACATGTAAGTAGCATCTCTCACCTTCTGTCACACCCCTTCATGTGTGGGCCAGCTGGTGATGGGGGTTTCCCCAAGCCCTCGTAACTCCAAAAGGAATCTGAAGCCCCTTACACAGAAGACATTGCATAACATTAATGTTCTTTAAAAATCAGACCAATGAGAAAAATACAGGGAAGTTTACTGCTACTAAACTGCAAATTTCTTGCAGTTTTCTGGCATCCTGAAGGATAAATAAAATTAAGGCATGTGGCTCTTTTAGGGAAACAGAAAGGAAAGAAAACAAAAAAAAATTGCTTATGTTAAACTTCAGGGTTTTTGAGCTTCCTGGCATCCTGACCAGCAGCACAGTACAGCTGAGTTACAAAGCTGGGTGGGCAGAAAGGGACTGGACAGCTCCTGGGAAACTGCTTCGGAGGCCATCACCTCAAAGGGCAGTGGACAGAACTAGCTTTGGGGAACCAGAGCACCAGGCCAGACGTTCGCCCTCCTGGAGACCTTGGCGACCTTTACAGTGAGGGGGCCGGGCTGAGTGGTTTGTGTTCACCGTGGTTCACAGCCACTTCAGAAGCTAAGGAAGAAGCAGCAGACTGAGCAGGCACCCAAGATTCTCTTGTTCTAGTAAGAGAGGCCGTTCCCTGCCTCTTATGTTAGCCTTCCTGGGAAGGCATACAGGGCAGCAGGAGGTCCTCCTGTCTTGACTGTGTCGCGCCTGTTCTCCCCTCAGTGAGTGTTGTGGGGCCCTGGAATACTATGACAAAGCCTTCGACCGCATCACCACGCGGAGTGAGAAGCCTCTGCGGAGCATCAAGCGCATCTTCCACACGGTCACCACCACAGACGACCCCGTCATCCGGAAAGTGCGTGTCCCCCACCACTCCCTCTGTTACGAATGCTGCCGGCTCCCACAGCTGAGGCCACAGAAAGCACAGCGTCCCACATTATCCACAGGGGATTGCTTGGATCCACCTCATACCAAAACCCATGCATGTTCAATCCCTTATGTACAGTGCGGTGGAATTCTATGTAACCCATGCAAGCATGTCCTCATGCACACCCAGATCATGTTAGAGTTCATAAGAAATCAAAGTGCTGTGTGAGTAGCTGCTGTATTGCAGTGTTCAGGGAGTAATGACTAACCAGTCTGCACATGCTCAGCACAGTTAGTTTTGGGGGTGTCCCCCCACCCCTAATAATTGGGTTGGGTCTCTAAGCACAAAACTCGCAGATACAGAGAGCAGTTGCGAGTGTAGATCCAGGCCCCGACACGGTGCTTCGGAGTCCAGCTTGGCTTAGATGGGCCTGAGTGCTGCTGCCGTGCAGCGCTGGGCTCCAGGCTGGGCTCTGCCGTGCTCACCAGCTTTGTGACCTCAAGCCTGGGTTTCTCACCAGCAAAGTGGGGATGAACATGCCTAGCTGTGGCCACAGGGGCAGGATGAAAGCCTTGCTGAGCACTTGGCTGGACACCGAGGAGGGCTCGTGGCTGGTGGTTCCGCTGTGGCCCAGGACAGTGACCCAGAGTGCGTTCTTCCACCTGCGGGCAGCAGCCAGATCTCAGTACCTCCTCTTCCTCCTGTCCTCGCAGCTGGCCAAAACCCAGGGGAACGTGTTTGCCACCGACGCCATCCTGGCCACGCTGATGAGCTGCACCCGCTCGGTGTACTCCTGGGACATCGTGGTCCAGAGAGTTGGGTCCAAGCTGTTCTTCGACAAGAGAGACAACTCGGACTTCGGTAAGGAGCCTGCCTGGGGCAGCTCTGGACAGTTCCCAGCCCCTCGAGTCGGAAGGTGACCTGTCTTCCCTGGGGAATGGGCAGCGTGTCTTCCCTGCTCCTCAGAGACATGGAGACATCCCCACAGCGCCTCCTCAAGGCTTCGGCCTTCTGGTTCCTCACGTGCCCACCACTGAGCCTCCAAACGTTGCTCATTTGCTTAGTGTTTTCCTTTGAAGTGATGCCACTTTCTGGGTTGTTTTAGCTTGGTTTTTTTGAGACAAGGTCTTCCTGTGTAATTCAAGCTGGCCTTGAACTTGAGGTGATCCTCCTGTCTCAGCCTCATGAGTGCTGGGATTATTTTATATTTATAAGGGAGAAAACATGCATGCATACATTTATATTGTGTATATGTGCATATCCATACACCATAAGTGAATACCACTGCGTTCAAAAAAGTCACAGCGTGAAAACAAAGCACTGTAATTACATTCAAGGCCTGAGGCTTTTCTTTTGCTAAAAAGGCGATGGTGTAAAACTTGTTTTTACAAATCCAAAAGTAATCTAAAGTAAGGCAGCCTTCTTACTGTGACTCAATTTTTTGCAGTTCTGGACCTTGAACTCAGGGGCCTCTGGGTGCTAGGGAAGCTCTCTACCACCAAGCCCGTCCGTCTCCTTTTTCCCTTTGAAATGGGATCTCACTGAGTTGCCCAGGCTGGCCTCAAGCTGCAGTCCTCCTGCCTCACCTCCCAGGTATCTGGGACTGCAGGCATGGGATTGAGTTTGTCGTAGGCAGCACCTAAGGTTAGCTGGGACCATGCTGCTGTCCTAGCATGTGTCCCCCTGGGGCGACCCCACTAGCAGGAGGAAGGACCACTGTGGTTTGGGGCTCTGCATGTTGTCGCTGACTCTGATTGTGTAGATGGGTGACCATGGCCCTGCTTTTCTAGACCTCCTGACAGTGAGCGAGACGGCCAACGAGCCCCCCCAGGACGAAGGTAATTCCTTCAACTCGCCCCGCAACCTGGCCATGGAGGCGACCTACATCAACCACAATTTCTCCCAGCAGTGCTTGCGAATGGTGAGGACGCACGAGCGGGTGGGCCTCAGGGTTTCATTCAGTCACCTGCTGTTAACTGGACATCTGCTTTATGCTGTCCTTGGCATGGGATTCTCACTGTAACAGCTTAAAAGCTCGGGCTTTGACCTCAGACTGCCTGGCTTTGATCCACTGGCCACTCGATAGCATGGGGTCAGGGTCTCCTCTGTACGGATGGGCACAGTCTGACGATTCTTGCCCCACATGGAGAAGTCATACTGTTGTGAATGAACGCAAAGAAAAGGAAGTTGCTGCCCTCGGGCGGTTTTGATGTTACTGCACAGTTACTGCTGAGAGTCAGGAGGGGAACACAGGCTTAAAACATGCAGGGAGTGGGCAGCGCTGTCTCTGGCTGATTGGGCTCAGGACGTCGTTAGCGCTGTACCCTGACAGCTGTGTCTTTCTCGCAGGGGAAGGAAAGATACAACTTCCCCAACCCAAACCCCTTTGTGGAGGACGACATGGACAAGAACGAGATCGCTTCCGTGGCGTACCGGTACGTCGTCCCCCTGGCAGGGAGCGCAGGCGACGTCCCAGTGGGCAGTTCTCTTGCTCAGAGGACCTCGAGCGACTCGCCGGTTTCCCCTTCGTTGCAGTTACCGCAGGTGGAAGCTTGGCGATGACATTGACCTCATTGTCCGCTGCGAGCATGACGGCGTCATGACGGGCGCCAACGGGGAAGTGTCCTTCATCAACATCAAGACACTCAACGAGTGGGACTCCCGGGTGAGGCGCTGCCCGTCCCCTCCTCGTGCCGCCATCTCCCTGCAGTGCATGCCGTCATGGCCACTTGTGTGCAGTTCCTTTTCCCTTTCGTTGGGGACGGGGTGGGGGAGGGTTGTGGGTTTTTTCCTCCACTTAGTTCCTTCCGGACACAGAAGTTTTTAGAACTTTCTGCTGATTTGGCACACAGGAACCAGTGCTTCCCTTCCAGTATCCTCTACGCTGTTCATTTCTGACCTCCCACCGGCCTCTGCTGTCAGTGTGCTGCTGGCTTTGAGCTCTCTTTGCCATCTATCTGGGTCATCAGCTCCACGCACCTCACCACTGCCTGCCTTCCGCCTCTCAGTTCCTTTATCCCGCCCTTCACTCACGGGACTCGGAGACGCGGAGATGGGCTCAGACTGACCCTCACTGGGCACTGTGAAAGAAGCCTGCTTCCCCGTCCTCTCTGCGTCCCCTCCTGCCACCACTCGGCACTGTGGGCCACTGCTCTTTCTCAGGCTACGCATTCACATTCCAAACGGGTTGGCATGAGCGGCAGCGCCTTGTTGCCACCATACAGAGTAAAGGACACTGGGCAGTTGCCGCTTGGGGCCAGATGCACAGAGTGGCTCTCAAGGTGTAGTGGAACGGGCCCTTTCATCCCACTTCCCTGACACCACGGCTGCTGAGCCCACAGGGAGGTTGGCTGGGGCCGTGGCCTTGGGCTGGACTGCACTGTGAGCTCCGTGTAGCACTTGGTGGCGTGGCGCCTGTGGCTCTTTGCCCGGGTGGTTACTTCACTCTTCCGGGCTTGCGCCTCTGCTCCCTCCATCTGCTGTCTTTGCTGAGCCCCCTTCCTCTTGACTCCCAAGGGCGCCTTCTGTTAGGGTCAGTCCCCACCACAGGCTCCTCGCCCTAAGTACCAAGCCTGACACAGGCTTGGGTGCGTGCTCCTGAGCTTCATAACTCGGTAACAGAAACTTGAAACTTGGCTTCCTAAGTAATGTCTGTTCATTAGCTCGTAGTTTTGGGTGGTAGAGGGAGCCACTCCAAAAGTTCTTGGGAGAAATCCACTGGAGCTCCTCCGAGCTGGCGGCAGCGTTCAGACCCTCGCAGTTGTACAGCTGAGGCCCCTGTTGCTTGCTAACTCAGCTGGGGCCTCTGAGCTAGAAGGCACCTCATGCCTTCTTCTCTCTCCCAAGCCCGCTGTGACCTCTACACACTGACCTGAGTCTCCTGTGGTTGGGGGAGGCCCCCCACAGTCTGTCTTAGTGATTTGGGCCTCCCAGCCACAGGAGCCCTTTTGACACACTATGAGGTAACATAAATGTCACCCTTGCGCAGGACGCATCTCCAGTGCAGGGCACACAGGGGTCATTGGGGTCACCTTGGACTGCTGCCACCCCAAGTCAACTGAACTCTAAAAAGATTGCCAGGCTCTGCTCTGACATTGCCCTGTCCACACTCACACACAGAACCCCCATTGTGTTCTGCCAAGATGCTTTCCTCTTCCACAATCCTTCAGGGTTTCTTTCACAAGAACCAAGAAAGTTGGGGAACCCCTACCCTGTGACCCTTAGCCTTTCGTTTTACCCATCCGGCTTAAGGTGGCAGAGATCCCTGGTCCTTGGTTGTCACTGTGTAGGTGCACATGGATCATGTGGCTGTAACCCCTGAGCCTTCGGCACATTCCCGCCCCTGCCCACGGCTGGCCCAGCCTGTCCTTCTTTGGACCTCTGTCTCTCGAATCTTCCACTGATCCCCTGTCCCTCATCCCCTGAAGCCCATCCCCACGTGTGTGTCTCGCCCCTTCTAGACGCACTCTTAGAAAACCAGATCTTATCATGTGCTTGCTGTGTGCGGCTGTGCGAGAGGCGCCCAGCCACGCCGTCGCCTCCCTTCCCTGCTCCCCTCAGCAGGCGAGGCAGGACCCATCGCTCCTGGTGCGTTGGGCACGGGCTGCCTTTGCATCGCTGACCGCTTTCCTCCTGCAGCACTGCAACGGCGTTGACTGGCGGCAGAAGCTGGACTCCCAGCGCGGGGCCGTCATCGCCACTGAGCTCAAGAACAACAGCTACAAGCTGGCACGGTGGACCTGCTGCGCACTGCTGGCCGGGTCCGAGTACCTGAAACTGGGGTGAGGGTGCTGTCTGGGGCCGAGGCCTGGCCCAGGGGGAGGGTAAGGGGCAACCGCACAGCTCTTCCCCTCTCCTCGGGGAAGCAGCAGGCCCGGGTCACCATTTCCCTGCCACCTAAGTGTCCCCGTCCCTGTGCTGCACTGTGCCCATTGCTGGTCTCCTCCCGCAGCTACGTGTCCCGGTACCACGTGAAGGACTCCTCGCGCCATGTCATCCTGGGCACCCAGCAGTTCAAGCCCAATGAGTTCGCCAGCCAGATCAACCTGAGCGTGGAGAACGCCTGGGGGATCCTGCGCTGCGTCATCGACATCTGCATGAAGCTGGAGGAGGGCAAGTACCTCATCCTCAAGGACCCCAACAAGCAGGTCATCCGTGTCTACAGCCTGCCCGATGGCACCTTCAGCTCCGACGAGGACGATGAGGATGAGGAGGAGGAAGAGGAGGAGGAGGAAGGTGTGTGGTGGGCCCCTGGGGTCCAGAGGGTCTATGGGCTGGAAGGGAGCAAGGACCAGGACCCTCGGCATAAAGGGCCGGGCCGAGGTCCGGCGGGAAGCAGCTGGGGGAAGGCCGGGGAGGGGCCCCGGTCCCACCAGTGGTGTGGGAGAAGGCTGGCTCCTGCCCACCTGCAGGCTGCCCTGCCCGCCTCCCCATCTGGAGTGCGAGAAAGGCCAGCTCCTGAGAGGTTCACAAGAGGTGCAGACAGGAAAGTGGGCCTCACGTCACCCGACATAGCTCATTCTCTTAATGTTTTGTATCTTTCAGAGGAAGAGACTTAAGCCAGACAGGTGTAGGCCTGGAGTTTCCTTCTCCCGCTCCCGGGAGGGTTGCTGCCTGGGAAGGTCGTGTGTCTGCTGCTCTCTGCCAGTTGGCAGCCGGAATAAAGCTGAAGTCCCTAGTCAGTCCGTCAGCCTGCGGCTCCACCCAGGATGCACGCCCTGCCTTCTCCTACTGGGCTCTGTTGGGAGTTCACACTCTGGGTGCCCTCCTTGTGTTCTTGGGTGCTGTTAGGGTTATGTTCCTTTGCCTTTTTTTGTCTTTGAGACAGGGTCTCACTATGCAGTTCAGGCTGGCCTTGAACTCACTTTGTAGCCCAGGCTGGTCTCGAACTTGCAACAATCTTCCTGCCTCAGCCTCCTGAGTGCTGAGACCACAGGCAGGCGTGCACCACCACACTTGACCAAGACTTACATTCCGCCTAGAGGGTGAAGTCCCTGGTTTCGTTCTGGAAGCCCTTGAGGTGACCCTGTCCTGGGTGAGGGTGAGCCATGGAGCGGGGTACCTGTTCAGGGCCCTTAAGCCCACAAACCCGGGCAGGCCGCCTGCAGCTACGTGAGGCTTTCTGCTTCCTGCCTGGAGCTCCGAGCCCAGGTTGTAGTAGAACCGGCTGGAGCGGGGCTGCCCATGACGGACGGGCCTCGGGGTGGTGAGGGAGAGCTTTCTACGTGGTGTGCACACAGCCTGGGCTGCTGGCAGATCGCAGGCCAGAGCCACAGCGGTGTGCCCCGAGTAAGTGCTCTGGAAAATGGTGCTATGTGGGCTTCTAGGTGGATTCTGTCCTGTGCTGAACATTGCACAGTACCCTGCCAGAATTCAGCTTTCTATAAAATTCACCTGAGCCGCTAGCAGAACTAAAGCAGGTAAGGAAATGGACTTAGCTTAGTGTGCAGTTCCCAAAGGCATAGCTTATACCTCCTAAGCTACAGACCTATGCTTTTGTTGAGGCTGTCTTCAAGTTGCTGGGCTAGCTTCAAACCTGGAATCTGCCTGCCTCAGTCTCCCAGGTAACTAGGGTTATAGGAATGGGCTGCTGCACCAGCCTTTTAAAGTTAAATCGTAATCTAACAGCCTCAGCAAGCAAGCAGGAGTTTGGTGAACATTGGTGTGGAGTGTACTGAAAACAAGACATGCTGGAGTTTTTAATGTGGAGTGTTAAAAAAATACACATTAAGGTAGGAATAGGTGCCATGGAGTTGGATTGCAGACCAAGAGCCATCCAGCCACCTCTTCAGCCCTGTGGTCCAACATGTAGGAAAAACTGGATCAAGCAAATGGCTCACAACCACCATGACACAGACATCCTGCCTTATTTTTGGTGGAGTATTTTCCCTAGCCTGCCAGGCTCCGATTCTCACTTTTTTTAAATTAGCATGTTCGCTATACAAGGCTGCAGTTGTTTCTGTTTTTTTTTTTTTTTTTTTTTTGAAATAGGGTCATGCTAGGTAATGCATGCTGGCCTTGAACTCGTGGCAATCCTCCTGCCTCAGCCTCCAGAGTGCTGCAATTACAGGCGTGCGCCACCATGCCTGGCAAAAGTGCCACGTCTTAATCAGCATGTTTGCTTTGGAACTAATGGAGAAAGGAACAAGGTCACCTTGGGGACTGAAAGATGGTTTCTGCCCTAATGGAGCTTCTCTCTGGTGCTGAAACAGGGCCACCGCTCTCCTTAGTGGGCACTTAGGCCTGATCGGTCAGCGAAGATTCTGGAGCTGCACTTTGAGAAGCAGCGGCCAGTGCCATGCTGCAGAGTTGTTCCCAAATAAGTGTTCATGCAAGAGCCCTCAGCTGTGCTCCCAGTACGCGGTGCCCTTTGAAAGCTCCAGGCTCTCAGGGAACAGGTGCTCTGTTCTGTCCAGGAAAACTGTACATGAGCTGACACAGTACTGCTGGGACAAAGGACTAAAGGGGTCCCTTAACCTGTTTGTTTTTTTACCTGTTACTTAAAAGCACATTTTCTGTTTTCTTCGGAGGCAGGTGGGGACTTAAAAGCGTTTTTGATAATCTCTTAACTCAGTTGGGCCTCAAATTACAGTAAGTAAAAGAACAAAGCTTGTGCATTCTGTGAAACTGGGTCAGACCTTCAGCTCTGCACAGAGCCATGCTAGTCATTTAGGGAAAGCCTCTAAAAACAGACAAAAATGAGCCAGGCATGATGCAGACCTATAATCCCAGCACCGAGGAGGCTGAGGCAGGAGAACCGCTGCAGATTTGAGGCCAGCCTGAACTACAGATTGAAAAAAACAAAATTCAAAAAAAAAAAAGGGATTTAGCTCTGTGGCTCAAATGCTTGCCCGGTAAGCATAAGGTTGGGAGTTAAATCCCCGGCACCAAAACAAAAATAAAGGTTCACAAAACAAGGTCCAGCTCTAAATTAATGTAGCCTATCCCTCTACCCTTTAAGTTAGGACACCAAGATAAGAAATTTTGACACTGGACTCTGTCCAGAATTTCCACTGAGTTAAACAGAAGGTTGCCTTGGGTCCCTGCAGAGCCTCACAACTAAAACTGCCCCTGAAGTCATGTGGATTCCTTTATGAAACCAGGACTGAGCTCATGACCCACTGAACCCCACCCAAACCATTGCAGCACCCCCCTCCCTGCAAAAGCTGGTCTCCCTTCTTTGGCAAATGGACCTGTCTGATCTCTTCCCCAGACTGTGTGCCCTTTCTGTATTTTTCTTAACTTCCTTAAAATCTAAATTCATGTCCCTTTCATTTTAATTTCCATTGCTACCACAGCCAGCCAGGACAGTGTGGGGCCATACCTCACCCTGGCAGCCATCCTTGATCATCTTGTTCTGTGTTCCAGCTGCCTCGAACACTGTGTCCGCTGGGTTTTAACTCAATCTTCACTGTGTGATCCTGGTGCAGCACCTAAAGGCTGGGCCTGCAGATGTCTGACAGGGAACTAAAACCAGGGTGCAGTCTGTCTCCTTTATTATCTTAAAACTTTGGGTCAGATTCTTGCTCATTGGCACAGAAACCACTTAAGGGAGCACCTGAGAGCCCTAAATTTACCTAGCCTATCTTGAAGACTGAGGCCATCAAGACAAAAGGAACTAGTTTCCAGGTCTTACCAGGACATCCAATTGCCAGCTTTTACATCCCAGACCCCTGGGAGTAATGCCTGGAAGTCTCCTGTCATTGTCCTAAACCTGCAGCCACCTTGGAGTCCAGGAAAAGCAAAGCCTCACAGACCACCCCGTGATGCAGTCACCCCATGACAGGAACCAAGCTGCCCCCTTATACAGGAGTTTCTGTCTCATGATGGAAACCAAACTGTGCCTTGAAGCTATGACAGCTCTCAGAACCTCACAGAACCATCCTGAGATACTGATGCCAGCTCTATTGAAATCTGCAATTACGCAAACCCCCAATCCTTGCCTTTGTTCCCCTTTTCTGCAAAACACCAATGCTTCTGCCAAGCCCTGAAAGTCAGTTCCTGACCCTCTTCGTTTCCCAAGCAAGGCCATGCTAATTTCCTGTTGTCACCATGGCCCACTCCCAGAGCCTAATCTGTTGGGACCTTGAGAGCTGAGGCTCAGGTAATAGCCTTAAGCAATCACCTCTATACCTACATTTTGGCCAGCCATCTACCTACTTACACGGTGGAAACAACCTCCCTTTAATATAGGACCTCAAATGATAAGGGAAATACTGAAACTCCCAACGTGCTAGATGTCAAGATACACCAAGTTCATGTTCCCCGAAATCGAAGAATGGTTTCTGAGAACAATGGAGGTCAAGAGTAGGAAAACTCCTGAGAGACAGGAGGGGACTTAAAAGCGGGCTGCCAAGGAGCCCACTCCCAAGGGAAATTTTACAGAGCAAAAACATGAGGTGGATACAACATGGGACAAATCTATGACCAACTAATAAGATTATAAGCATGGCTGCTTCGGTAATACTGATCTGATGGGGAAGCAGGTCACATAACAAGTGGACCTGGAAAGAATAAAGACCTTTTTTTGGAAAGGATGGATCAGGAAGTCCTGGTCACCCACTTGGACCATGAAGTCTATCTACACATTATGGGACCAGGTGATACCAAATGCAGCATCCTCTTTAACGTGTTGTTTATCCTTTGGGAGGCATGTAGGCCTGGTCATCCTGTCTATCTTGAGGCCTGACCTTTAACAGACATAGATCCAGCCACAGTTGTGCTGTGTTCTCGCCCTCTGCGCCAATTCCCTCGAGGGCCTAGCTTTGTATGACAGCCTAGAATATTTCTAACTTAGCTGTCTCTGCCCTCTCCGCTTACAGGAAGCCCAGATCAGCCTTGTTATTCCATAAACTTAATCACTTCCATACACTTAATCACTTTAGCAAACACTTGTTAACTGGTTTATGCATCCTGGCTTCACTACTTTAAGATTCCTGTCCCACAAAAAACGGGTGGACCAAATAGTTCCAAATTGTTTAGTCTCTGGTTACATTTTTAGGGTAACATAAAAACTGCAGTTTTCTCCAACTATGTGTTCCCAACCTTCATATGGAGAGATGCGGATTTTAAAAACAAGAATCATGGGGGTGGGGGCAGAGCGGGTATATACCTCAGTGGCACAGTGCTCGCCTGGTAAGTGCCAGGTCTGAGTCCCATTCCCCTTACCAATAAAAACAATCATGCCAGGGGTAGTGGCACATGCCTGTAATTCCAGCACTCGGGAGGCTGAGGCAAGACGATCACACTGTAAATTCAAGTCCAGCCTGGACCACAGTGTGCTCAAGGCCAGCCTGCACTGCATAGCAAGACCTTCCTTGTCTGGAAACAAATAATCTCCCACCCTACCCCACTCAGCCTCGCATCCCAGACCCGCCGACCCTGCCTCCTAGTTCGGCAACTCCCAACCCTCCTCCCACGCCCCCAAAACCCCCTCCACACCCGCTCCACGGACATTGGCCCACCAGGGACCCACTGCCACGCCAACCCTAGCATGTAGCCAGCCCCGCCCCCAAGTGCCGCAGGCCGAGCACGTGACCCCACCCCCCGCCATTGGCCGGGAGGGAGGCGAGGGGCGGAGCCGAACCCGCGGCGCGAGCGAGTGCCCACGCCTCCCCCGAAAGCGGCCTGCGGTCGGAGGAGCCAGATCGCGATCCAGGCCGTGGCAGTCGGCGTGCATGGTCGGGAGGGCGGCCTGGGCACCGCGAGGGCGCGGGCAGCAGCTCCAGGCGCGGCCATCCACAGGCCGAAGAGCCTCGCGTGCGTGTCCCGCGGCCGCAGGTGTGCTGGGGCATCCCGGTCACGTGACGTAGGGCGTGGCTCTCCAGGCCACGCCTCCCTCGGGGGTCTAACCAGAGGGCGGGTGTGTGGCCGGCGAGGGGTGATCCTGCTGGATGTGTGGCGCCCTGCAAGAGGGGAAAATTGCGGCGGGACCTCGTCTGCTCCCCTGAGTGGAGGCTGTCCTGACAGTAAGAAGGGAACGCAGATCCTGGAGATGGGGTGCAGAGTTCCAGAGCTCCTCAGCTCTCCAGCTCTCCCCCGAGAAAACCGCAGCCCGGGCCGATGAGCTCCGAGGCGCGCTCTGCAGCTAACTGGGCGTGCTTCCTCGGGAGCGCGGGGCCCGCGCCTCCTGTCGGGCCCCGAGGTGCGAGGCCTCCCCGCTGGTCTGCGCAGGATGGGTCTCCCCGCCGCGCTCTGGGGCCCCCTGGGGCTGCTCTCGTCCCTCGCCCTGCACGCGGCCCTGGGCGCGCACCCGCACCGGGATTACTGTGTACTGGGCGCGGGGCCCGCAGGGCTGCAGATGGCCGCCTTTCTGCACCGCGCCGGCCGGGACTACGAGGTGTTCGAGCGCGCGCCTGCGCCTGGCAGCTTCTTCACGCGCTACCCACGGCACCGCAAGCTTATCAGCATCAACAAGCGGTACACGGGCAAGACCAACGCGGAGTTCAACCTCCGCCACGACTGGAACTCTCTGCTCAGCCCTGACCCCCGTCTGCTGTTCAGGCACTATTCGAGAGCCTACTTCCCCGATGCCGGCGACATGGTGCGCTACCTGCGGGACTTCGCAGACCGGCTGGGGCTCCACGTGCAGTACAATACCAACATTGTCCATGTCACTCTGGAGAAGGACCGGCAGGCCTGGAACGGCCACTACTTCATCCTGACTAATCAGAAGGGCCAGTTGTACCGATGCAGGTAAGGTAAGGGTCACCTGCTAAGCCCAGAGGCTTTTCCTAGGAAGAGGCCACGCCTCGACCCGTGAGATGTGCAGTGAATGGATGGAAAGGGGCATTTCACACCTGCTCCTCCTGGAATTCAGTGCCAAGAGCTTCAGCTCAGTTACTGTCTCCAGTGGGCCCTTAAAGACTTGTGGTCAAGCAGTTTCCTTCCATGAGGAATTGTTGGTCTTGGTGTTCACTGTGGTGCTCCCGTGTTGAGGATTCTGCAGAAGCACAGTTTACGTAGCCACAGAAACCTTCTTGTAACCATCCTGGAACTGGCATTCCCAGATGCTGGGGTATGCGGGGTCAAGTGTCCCCTGAGTGTTAGACCAGCCCAGTGGGATTTCAGCACTGAACAAGAGTGGGAGTCTCAACAGGCAGTGCTTCCAAGCACCAATTTTAGCCAGGTGTGGTGGCACACTTGTATAATCCCAGCACTTGGGAGCCTGAGGCAGGAGGGTTGCCTTGAGTTTGAGGCCAGCTTGAACTACATACTAAGACTGTCTCAAAAAAAAAAAAAAAAAAGAAAGAAAGAAAAAAAAGTTGTTTTAGCCTGCTTTGGCTTAGGAAGCAGCCTAATACCATGCATATTGTGGGGCCACCCGCAAACTTCCTAACCTTCACAAGGAATGGGGGAGTTTGCCAGTCCCCAGTGGATATATACAGACCCCAGACTCAGAGTAGTTGAGTGACCAGGTGCTGGCTCACAGCTAATACCCGGTGGAGCTGTGATCTGAGCTCACAGTTTCGACTCCAAAGCTTGCGTTCTTTCTGCTACACCCATTACTTAAATCCGCTCCAGGCAGTGCCCAGCCAGTTGACTCCAGGACCCAGCACTGCTCCTCGCCTACTACACTCCAGGCAGGAGTCATGCCAGTTTTGTTTTCTCGAATCTTAGGTGGCTGTGCAACAGTGCAGGAGAATCAAAGAGGACCAGAGCAGGCATGGAAAAAACGAGGCCTAGTGGGCTGTATGTGCCCCTTCCACAGGCCAGTCTGTTCTGCTTTGGAAGCACCTTGTGATCAGCCTGTTCTGCAGGCTGGCCAGCTCCAACGCTCTAGCTGCGCACCACCAGATTGTAGTCACCCATCAATGAGCAGGACGTAGGAGTCAGACCGATCTGTGCCCAGATTCTGGCCCTGCTGCCCTTGGAATCCCCCTGGGCTGTGGGCTGCAGGGCCTGTGTCTCCTCACCTGTAAAGCTGGCCATGGAACAGACTCGGGCTTGCTCACGGGCCCTGAGCGCTGCAGCATGGGGCTCCATTCTCATCACTTGGCGGGATCCTTGGTCCCACTGCTGTGCTCAAAGGGAATAGTTTTCAATTTCTCATAGCATCACCTTCTCCCCGGTGAGTGACATTAATCCCGTGTTTGGTATAATTCAAGCCCAGCGGGAAGAGAAGTCAACCACTGGCCTGCAGGTTCGGGGGAGACAGGGGTGGTCTTTCAGGTGTCCTGCAGCGGTCAGTATGATGCATGAATGAATGGATGCTCTCCTGTTTTCTTCCAGCGTCAGCAGTTAAAGGGAGGCAGGAGGTCCAGAGTGTGCTGTGCGCTGAGCGATCTTAGTCTGTGACACTGAGCCGTCTTTCCTCTGTCCCCACCTGCAGCGTCCTCCTCGTAGCCTCCGGCCTGTCAGTCCCCAACCAGGTGGACTTCCCAGGGTCCGAGTATGCAGAGGGATATGAGACCGTGTCTGTGGACCCTGAGGACTTTGTGGGTCAGAATGTGCTGATCCTGGGCCGGGGAAACTCGGCCTTCGAGACAGCGGAGAACATCTTGGGCGTCACAAACTTTATCCACATGCTGAGCCGCTCCCGGGTGCGATTGTCCTGGGCTACCCACTACGTTGGAGACCTCAGGTATGCTGCATTCCCCACTTGCATATCTCATACCCTGCATCAATGCGTCTTGCGTTACTGTGATGAAATACCTGAGGCTGGGCTGTTTAGAAAGAAAAAAGCTTCATTTAGGTCATAGTTTTAGAGGCTGAAAGTTCAAGCAGCATGGTGCTGGTTCTTGTAAGTCCACCCACACCCCGGCCTACATCACCTCCTAGCAGGTGGCATAGTGAGCCAGGAAGCCAGAACCAGGACAGGGGCCAAGCTCATTTCTTTCATGACAACACTCCAGCTGCTACCACTGGGGGTTGCACAAGAAGTACCTTGATGTCTTCCCAGGGCAGTGACCCCGGCGATCCCCACCTCCCAGCCTCACTGCACATGAACCCTTGGGGACAGGGACACATCCACACCCTCGCCAGCCCTGCTCTGAGTCCCCTTGTCCTCTCCTTGTATTCTCTTGGGCCCCAGAGCCATCAACAATGGCCTGCTGGACACCTATCAGCTGAAGTCCCTGGACGGGCTTCTTGAGTCGGACCTGAGAGACCTGGCCATCGTGAAGGATGCCAAGGGCAAGTTCCACATCACCCTGAAATTCTTCCTGGAGGAGACCAATGCCAGCCAGAGCGCCGACTCCATCCCTCTCCCCCAGGATAACAGCGACAACTTTGCCATGCGCGTAGCCTACGACCGCGTCATCCGTTGCCTGGGCTGGAACTTCGACTTCTCCATTTTCAACCAGTGAGTCCGGCTTGGGGAGGCCCCTTCTGACCCTTCCCAGTGGAGATGAAATGGCCCTCAGTGAGCCAAGGGCAGGGGCTTTGTCTGCAGTTAGTTCTGGGTGGCACTGAGCTCCTCAGAATCTTTGGCTGAGGACTCCACCTGTGACATGGCCAGGCCAGCTCAGACATGCAGTGTTGGACTTGCACAAAGGCTGGCAGCACAAGGGCTCAGAGCTGTGCTCCTGGTCAGCCTGAGGGTCTAGGCCAACCCAGTCAGGAGCTCTAGAAAGGTTACTTTCCCTCACACAGCCTAGTTCTTCACCTCGAGACTAGGGGTAATAGTCTGACTCATGGTCATTGTGAGATTAACAGAGGAGCACCTAGCATATACTTATGCTCAGTAAAAGCTGCTAAAATCATTTGTAGTTACATTTTTGAAGAATTGCTTCACCAAGCCTGGTTTTTAGATGTTGGTGCCCAGTACTGTGTGAGGCTGGCAGTTGCACCATCCACTAGGTCTCTCCCTTGTCTTCTGGCCAGGGTTCAAGAGGACCAGGGCCTGCGTAGGCCCCCTTTCCCCATCAGGTGACAGCAGAGCCCGGCCTTGTGTCAGGCTTGAGTTCTGGCTCTGTCCCTGGCCTGAGCCACAGCTGCCTCTCCTGGCAGCAGAGATGACCGTCCCAGCTCCTGGGGTCACAGTGAGGGCCACAAAGCACACCCTCCATGCTGGGCTTGGAACACATGATTCATCCACAGCAGCTACAGTCATTAACAACCCTGTCTGCTTCCAGGTCCCTGCGGCTCTCCTCTGGCGGCGAGTTCAGCAAGAAGTACCCGTTGATCAGAGCAAGCTATGAGTCCAAAGGAAGCCGGGGGCTCTTTATCCTGGGTACGGCCAGCCACTCGCTGGACTACCGGAAATCGGCAGGGGGCTTCATCCACGGCTTCCGATACACAGGTGAGCCTGGCTGGGCGATCTCCTGTCCCCAGGCCTAACCACTATCGTTATTCCCAGGGCATCAAACATGCTCCCCATTTTAGGGGCTTTAACGGGATCACTTATCATAATGTCCCTGCCCAGGGCAGATGATCCCGAGTTTCCGTAGCATCAGCAGATACCCATGTGATGCAGTTATGGCCAGTGCAGGCTAAAGAACGCAGTGCTGGACCATGGCCTTAAAGGTGAAGCTTTCACCTAGTTCACCCCTTGCTGGGGGTCCCCAATTTTGGAGGTGTCCGGGAGGTGGCCCATACACCCTCACAGGCCACCATAAGGGCCACAGAAGGTCATAGCTGGGCATCAGGCAGCTCTGAAGCATCACACACATGCAGACCTGTTGGGTGATACAGATTTTGGTAAAAGCTACAGTTGGAGCTGGATATGTCGGTGCACACTTGTAATCTCAACACTCGAGAGGCTGAAGCAGGAAAATCACAAGTTCAAAGCCAGTCTGGGCTGCACAGTGAGACCTTGTCTCAAAAAAAAAAAAAAAAAAAGCTGCAATTGGATTATATCAATTAGCTCTTCAAAACTCAGAACTGAAAGTATAAATTTTCTGCTAACTTGAAAATGTTTGCATGTAAAATGCAAAAGCATTATTTTTTAAACAATTGATTCACTGCCTGAGAATAATCCCCAACCAGAAATTGCTGCTTTGTGATTTTTTTAAAAGGGTAAATAGGTGGGGCTGGAGATTTAGCTCAGTGGCATAAGCGCCTGCCTTGCAAGCAGGCAGTTGTGAGTTCGATCCCTGGTACCGATAAAAATGAAAAAGACAAAAAAAAAAAAGTTAAAAAGGAAGTAGAAAATGAGAGAAAATGAATTCCCACATATTGGGTACTTTCAGTAAGCCCATTACTATGAACATGTGGTCCCTCCAAGGTAGCTGTGAAACCTTTAAACTTACTTTCTTTCTTTCTTTTTAAGAAGAAATGTCTTGCTGTGTTGTTCAGCCAGACTGGTCTCAAACTCGTGAGCTTAAGTGATCCTCCTGCCTCAGCCTCCAGAGAGACAGCTAACACAGGTGCACTCTACCATCACACCCAGCTGAAACTTTTTTTCAGATCCATTTTTCCTTGAAATAAAATGGATTTAAAAAAACAAAACAAAACATTTTTTTCTTAAGAAACATCTGAGGCCCAAAGTTTTGATGATTTTCCTCACTAGATCCGGAGCCCCAGTTATTAGTGAAATAAGAATTCCCCCAGTTAAGATTGGTAATACGGTGAAAAAGATTACTAGGAAAGACTGGGCATTAACGACGGTGTTGTAATTTGAGTGTGATGTAGAAGCAGTGCTGGTTGCTCGAACTCGGCTGGAATGAAGACACTTAAAGCAGTGCCCAATCTTCTGGCTCCAGGACTAGTGTGCCTACTATGCGCTGATAGCCTTGTGACTGTAGGGAACAATTAGGAACAGAAGTGGAAGGGAAAGATGGCTGAACGAGCATTAGACACAATCCAAAGGCCAAGTCCCGAGGTGAAGAGTCATAACCGAATTCCACATCGAAGGAGCAGCTTCAATTCTGCAGGAGCTTCGCCACCTTTTTACCCCATACCAGATGGAGTAGGTCCAAGACCGCTGAGCAGAGCATTGGGCTGTTAACTGAATTCCCCTGGGTGGATTCCACCGCTCGAGTCAGGATTTAGTGTAAGGTGTTTGGTTTGCAGTCAGTGGATGTAGAATAAGCCTGTAATCCTGAAGTGTGAGGCATTCACTTAGGGCTCTGAAGGCTCCGGGTCTGTGGAACCTAAATTCAGACTTCAGTGTCAACAATAGTGGTGGCAGGGGGAGAGAGAAAAGTGACAGCTGCCGAGGGTGTGCCACACCTAGAAGCCCAGCCACTCGGGGAGCTCAGGTAGCAGGACGGCATGGTCAAGGCCAGCCTGGGCAACCGAGCGAGATTCTGTCTCAAAGTCAAATAAAATGCTGCAGGGGATGGGGATGCAGCTCAGCGGTAGCACACTCGCCCAGCAACCACAAAAAACAAGTTGATCGTGTAGCAGATAATGGTAGGAAAAACGTTTTATTTCTTCAAATTTTCATTTGTGTTTAAACGTTTGGTTGCTGGAAACACTGTTAGGGATGTGGGGTGTATTCATATGTAAAAATAAAAGTTAATAGTGCTGAAACAGCTGTGAACATTGGCATAATAATGTTTCCTTGTTTGTTCCTGAATAATAATTTATTTGGGTAAAATTCCAGGGAGTGGGGTTCAACCTTCTGGGATGAATAAGATGATAGATTATTGCAGAGATGAGCAGGTGTTTTGTTTGGTGTGATGAGGATACGTTAAGCAGTTGTTTGATGTTCAGTATGGATGATGTGGTGTTAATGTGACATGAGTCTCTATTTTTTTCTGAAGAAACACCCCAAGAGTCAGTGTTTCAATGATTTGGTCACTTTTATACAAATTGAACTTCAGACTCAGGCTCTTTTTTTTTTTTTTTTTGGTCTTTTTCCTTTTTATCAGTACCAGGGATCAAACTCATGACTGCCTGCTTGCAAAGCAGACGCTTATGCCACTGAGCTAAATCCCCAGCCCCTGGGCTCTTTTTTTTCAAGTCTTCTTTTCTGGTTTCTCAAATCAGACCAAGCTGGGCGTGGTGGCGCATGCTGGTCATCCCAGCAGTCAGGAGGCTGAGGCAGGAGGATCATTCCAAGTTCTCAACCAGCCTGGCTACAAAGTGAGCCCAAGGCCAGCCTGAACTGCATAGGGAGACCCTGTCTCATAAAGACCAAAAGCAAAACGAAACAGACCAGAGCCCTCCCTATAGGGAGGAGTCATCTAGAGTGTGGAGGCTCACCTGGTGGAGCGTGGCAGCCTGTGCTCCTCTGGTTCTTAACTAAACACATTTGAACAGCCCTGAATATGAGCTCTCAACCCTCCTAGATCCACTCTTCCTCTGCAAACAGGCAGTGACAGCAGAAGGTCCCACCAGCGGCCTCACCACCCCTGCACCTGGTGCCACCTGTGGTGGCTCCTAGACTCTTGAGTGGGTGCTGTCGTGCTGGGTGGCAGCTGTTACATAATTGTGCCATAAAAACCGTAAGGGTCTTGCATCCAGCTACCCGACTTCTCCACACATGCAATCCACCGCCTCGCGTTGTCTTAATGCTTGTTTTTACATTTTACTGTCCTGTCAGTTTGGCTGGGAAAGATAATCGTGTTTTGCTGTTGATTTCCAGGCGCTAGATCTTATGCCCCACATGTGTCGTTAAGGAAGGAAACTTGGAAGAGAGCTGTAGCCATCTGCAAACCGAAATGATTGCCAGGGCCTCCTCGCTCCTGTGCCAAGGCCCTGCCTGCACCCACTGTCCTGGCAGACACCCCCTGTCTGGCCTGCCTCCTCTTCTGCAGCTCACACACCTCATTCTCAGCCCTGTGAGACAGAGCCTGGTATTGCAGCCCCTTTCTCTAGTGTCCAGAGAAGTTGACCTGGCCGGAGTCACACAGCCAGGAGTGACAGAGGTGAATGTACTCTGTTCCACTCTAAGGCTTACACAGGAGCACTAAGCTTCAGGCAAAAGAGGAGCAGTCTTGGGGCCTGGACAGCTGACCGCTGTGGTCACTGAGCCTTTGACTGGACTCCTAGGGGGAGGGCAGGAGGGCATCAGCCCCTCCCTGTGAGATCTGCCTGGACCTTGCTTATGGTACAGCTGAGGAACCATCTCAAAGCAAACAGCACAGGAAGTGAGTACAGCGACAGTGATAGAGACGGTGGCACAGACCCCCAGCACGTGGGAGGTAGGACATGCCCGGAACCCTGTCCACTCCCTCTCAGTCACTCTGCAGACCACCCCTGCCTTGCCCTCATCTGCCTCTCCTGACTGACTGGCGATCCTGCCTCTAGGCATGCTGGCTTCCCATCAAGTACATAATGCCAAAAATGCAAAACCATCTTCTTTTTCAAATACCGGGGGCAGAACTCATGGCCTGGCATGTATTGGGCAAATGCTGTACTACTGAGCTACATCACCAGCCTTCTTTGTTTTGGCCATGCTGGCCTTGAACTTGTGATCCTCCTGTCTCACCTCCCGAGTGGCTAGGATTACAGGTGTGCCACTGCAGCAAAATCTTTCTTCTGAGAGAGACTCTCACTATAGTTTAGAGTGGTCCAAGACTTTTAATCGAGGTCTGGGTTGCCTTGCAGGCTGCACCAGCCCGTCCTCCTGCCTTTGCCTCTTTCCCACACTAGTCCTGTCTTCATCATGTGCCCAGCACTCTCCCATGCCCTGTTCCCTACGTCCAGGACACTTTCCCACACTTCCCAAGCTGTGTGATCACAAACCTTTTGCAGAATTTAGCCATTGCTCCTCCGAGGAGCCAGGTATCCGGTGAAGCCAACATCTCCCGGGCGCGGACCCCAGGGTTCCTTTACACGTGGCCCCGCTGCATGCCCTGGCCTTTAATGTTGCACCTTTGAGTGTTGTGCTGATCCCTTTGGGAGGAGCAGCTGTCTGTATGGTGTACAAATCCCACAGTGATGTACGGCAGCCCCAGAGGTACAGAAAACCATCTCCCTGATGCACAGAGCAGCTCAGAATGGAACTGAGGGACAGATTGGATTTGGGGTGCAGGAGTAAGAGAGAGAGACAGACAGACAGACAGAATCTGAGGTTTTCCACATGGGAGTCTCTGCTGGAAATAGGGCCATGAGAGGGGACAGAGGGCCCTGTGTCTGGGCCGGAAGCACCACGTGTAAGGTGGTGGCAGTGGGACGTCCATAAACACCGCTCTACCTGGAACCTTGCCAGGCCCCACTCGGAAGTCTGCACTTCACCAGGTGGGCAAAGGTGAGACCTCTGTCACCGCTGCTGCCCTCCTCCTCCCTCCCGCCCTTTCAGTGCGCGCCGTGCACCGGCTCCTGGAACATCGCCACCACGGCCTCGCCTGGCCCCACACCGCGCACCCCGTCTCCCAGCTGACTGACTCCATCATCCGGCGTGTGAACGAGGCTTCCGGGCTCTACCAGATGTTCGGGGTGCTGGCTGATGTCGTCCTGCTGAAGGAGTGAGTGACGCGTCCCGGCCCCCCTGCCTGTCCCCCCGCCTGCCCTCTGCGGCTGCCTGCCCTGAACACCCCGCACCATGCTGCTTTCTCTGTCCTGCGCCCAGCGTAGCCCAGCTTCCCTTCCTAAAATGAGGCCTGCAGGGCACAAAAATCTGGAGTTGAGAGTTCCCTCAAGCCGGGGCCAGTGAGTCCTGGATGTCTTTTTTTTTTTTTTTCCCCCCCGAGGGGAGAGTACTGGGAATCAAATTCACAACCTCGCACTTGCCAAGCAGGCGCTTATGCCACTGAGCTATATCCCCAGCGCCATGGTCCTGGTTTTATTAGTCAGGAAAATGGTGGCACTCAGTGCCTGAAAAGGACATGGCGCAGAACACGGTGGGGACAGGGCAGGCAGGGGAAGCAGAAAAGCCCTTAGGGCAGGACAGGCGAGCATAGCAAGACCTGTCAGCCAGAGGGCACAGCACGATCCCAGTGAGGGATGCCCAGCACACCCAGTCCAGGGGCACGAGAAGAAGTCCTTGTACTCGGTGCACGGGCTTCCCTTCACCTGTGAGCCCTGCTCTTTCCCGTGGACACGCATGCGGTGGGGGCAGCCTGGTATTTCTGCCTTCTTGAGTCGCTCATCTTGGCCAGCCCTGCTGTCCATCCCAGTGGCTGTCACCCATGCTGACACAGCAGCCCCCTCGGGCAGCCCTGGTCTGTCCTTGGCACAGTGGCTGGGGTGGTCACTGTAAGAGTAGCCACTGAGGTGGCCTCTGCTCCACACTCTCCAGGGACCAGCAGCTCCTTCTCAGCCCAGGGAACCCCTATTCCCAACGGGCACACACAGCCTGGGGCCCCGCGACCTCCCGGGTTCCTCCTGCTCCCCTACAGTGGGGAGCAGCCCCCCAGCCTTCCTTTACCCCCACACAGCAGGGCATTCCTTTCTTCCTCGGGGCCTCTGCCTTGTCCTCTTGGCCTGGAGTGCACGTGCCCAGATGCCCGCTCCAGGTTGCAGTTTCTGGGATTCAGCCTGTGTATAAGAGAATGCGGCAGTCACAGTGACAGATGCCAGTCAGGTCCACACTGCACTGCTGCCGGTGGGAGGGACCTACGAAGCCTGTTCTCCGCTCTGCATGGCACTGAGGCCCCACCTTGCCCCCACCAGGAATGCCACAGTGTTCGAGTACCTGGAGGAGTTCCCCATGCAGATGCTGGCCCAGCTGGAGACCCTCACGGGAAGGACAGCCAAGCACGGCCTCTTTGTCATCAACATGGAGTATGGCAGAAACTTCTCGGGGCCCGACAAGGACGTCTTCTTTCATGACCGGTCCGTGGGGCACACAGAAGACGCCTGGCAATCTAACTTCCTCCACCCCGTCATCTACTACTACAGGCACCTCCCCACTGGTGAGCCGGGGTGTCCTAGAGGTGGCACCCCTCACACCCGGTGTCTGTGGAGTTGTCACCGGGGACCCCTGAGAACTCCTTCCGCATGCAGCAGGGGGCCCCTGGGGAGCTCAGCCCAGAGACAGGCAGGGGCAGAAGGTCAGAGAACGGCAGGTGCTGATTCTGGATCCTGCCGCATACCAGGACCTGCCTGGGCCCCACGGGAGCACCATGATGTCAGGCACCACGGGGAAAGAGGGGCACTGTTGGGGAAACTGACCACAGTGGGGGTGGGAGCCTGCGGGGTGAATATTAAAGTGAGGGGAACCAGGCACCCAGGGAGGTAACTGTATAGAAAAGCTGGGTGAAATTCCCAATTCTGTTGCCATGTGACACTGGGCCTTTTCTCAGCCTGTCTGAGTCTTACCTTCCTCATCTGTAAAATGGGGACGATGCCAGGGCTTCCTTTATAGGAGTGCGTGGGGTGAGTCTGATAATACCCAGAATGCTCGAGTTGCTAGCACAGCACAGCTGCCAGTAACCCACAGCCTGGGGAGCCTGACTTCTGCTTCAGAGCCTGGAGGGCAGCCAGTGGAGAGGGTGACCCAGCTCACAGCTGCTCCCAAGGGCAGAGGGAGCGTCAACTGCTAGGAGGGACAGGGGCGCAGGTTTCTAGTGAATATGAGGTGGAAATGGTCACCTTGAGCCGAGTCCAGCACAGGGACAGTCGGGTCTCGGCTTGGTGGGGCCGCTGGACCAGGCACCATAAACAGCAGCAGGAAGTGGGGCTTAGAGGAGCCCTAATGCTGTCCGTGCAGGGCTGTGAGGCCAGTTTCAAAGCAGCCACGATGGGCCTCTCCATGGGTCTCACACCGTCAGTCTCAGGCGCCCTCTGAGACCACAGCCCAGCTCTTTCCTCCTCCCTAGGGCAGCTTCCAAGGGTCAGAAGGTGGTGTTACATGAGCTACAGTGTGTGTCAAGAGCACACTACATGAGCCAGGGTGGTGGCCGTAATCCCTGCACTCAGGAGGCCGAGGCAGGAGGATTGCTCTGAGTTCAAGGCCAGCTTGTACGACATAATGAGATTTTTGTCTACCTTCCCCCCAAAAAAGCATGGTGGGACATTTGGGACATGGGGTGGCAGGTCGGTTGTGATGTGGCTCGTCTCCCCACCCAGAGCAGGAGGTGAGGTTCCGCCCGGCACACTGGCCCCTGCCGCGGCCCACAGCCATCCACCACATCGTGGAAGACTTCCTGACAGACTGGACCGCGCCGGTAGGGCACATCCTGCCGCTGAGGCGCTTCCTGGAGAACTGTCTGGACACCGACCTGCGAAGCTTCTATGCAGGTAACTTGAGCTCCCAGGATGTGGGACCCAGCTAGGAGTCGGTGGGAGGTGCAGGAGACCCAGGCTGGGGGTCTTCAGACTCAGATCTGAGTCCAAACCTGGACATGAAGTTACCCCCTCGCACAGTACCCCTAAAACTACACAACAGCATGTCCTTAAAAGCTGGACAGGAAACCGGGTTTGGTGGCACATGCCTATCATCCCAGCATGCAAGAGGCTGAGGCAGGAGGTTTGCTGTGAATTCTAGGCCAGCCTGGGCTACAAAGTGAGTTCAAGGCAAGCCAGAACTGTAGCAAAACCCTGTCTCAAAAATCAAACAAAAAACTGCACAGGAGCCAGGCATGGTGGTACACACCTGTAGTGTACCACCTAGCACTTGGTGTGGGGGCAGATTGTATCTGCTGTACTAGAGACTGGACCCAGATATATTCCCAGGCCTTTTTTGTTTTTTTTTATTTTGAGGCAGGGTTTCACTAAGTTACCCAGGCTGGGCTCAAACTTGTGATCCTCCTGCCTCAGCCTCCCATGATTCTGGAATTCCAAGCTCACAGCACCATTCCCAGCTCGGTCTGATACTTGGGAGGCTGAGGCAAGAGGATTGCAGGTTTGAGGACAGCCTGAGTTACAAAGCCAGTTCAAGGATGGCCTGAACTACATAGCAAGAATGTATCTCAGAAAGCCAAAAACCGAGGAAAAAAGAGAAGACATTAGGAAAATGAGAAAACTCTCAGAGACCTGGCGCTTTGGAAAGCACAAACCGTGATGGGGTCTGCTGCCCATCAGTGGCCCCAGGCCTGGTCCATACTGACCAGCCCTGGATGAGAAGATGAGGGGGCTGCATGGGAGATCTGAGACCCTCGGATAAATCTTAGATCCCAGTGGGTAAGCAGAAGCAGGAAATGCTGCCAGGAGGGAACCAGAAGAGATACATCTTTCGGGCCTGGGTAGAACGGGGTTGAAAAACTCTTCCCTGAGAATTTCCCACAACTAGGCCTACTGTGAATAAATCACAGGAGCCAATGCAAAGTTTCCCTTGAGAGACACACCCTTGAAAATGAGGCCTCCGATACCTATTTGGTCAAGAAAATGAGTGAGGCTTATGTTGTAGAAGTGCTGACCCCTGTGTTTTCCCCAAATGTGGGAAACTTTATTACATAGTGGAGAGCTGCATTTATGCTTTCTTCTGGCTTGGTGTTTCAATGTGGCAGTGTTTATTTTGCACATTATGGTACACAATTGAACAGCAAAGAGCTAGGGAGGTTTGTGTTTGCACATGTCAGGTAACTGTAATTTCTTTGATGTATTTTTTTGTTTGGAAAGAGTATTTGTTGAGTTTTCTGTTAAATGATGATTTAGGGTCCCCAGGTTGCTTCAAACTTGAAATTATGATATACTGCCCCCATACTTTACTGAAACCGAAATAAAGTAAGTGTTGTACTTACACTAGTAAACTCACTAAAAAAAAAAAGAAAAGAAAATGAGGCCTCCAAGAACAGCCACAGATGAAGTTCCAAGGATCAGGAATTCCCTGTGAAAATTCACATGACTCCTAAGGACACAGACCACCAGGAGGGAGTGATGGCAGAATATAACTTACGGGATTAAACTTGCAAACAAAGGCTGGAGATTGGAATGGTCAGATAGTAAATACAGTCATGAATTTAAAAATATTATGAGAATATAATGAAAGATGGGGGGAAAAAGGAATTTACATTTTGGCTGCGGAGAGGTGGCCAAGTGGTAGAGAACTTGCCCAGCATGCATGAGGCCCTGAATTCAAGTCCTGCCTATATATGAAATAGAGATACCAAAATTGGGCAGATTTGAGAAGGATCTAAGGAGAACTTCTGGAAATGAAAAGAAATAAGTTCAAGGTAGGGGCTGGGAATTTAGCTCAGCGGCATAAGCACCTGGCTTGCAAGCCCGAGTGGTCGTGAGTTCGATCCCTGGTACTGGTTAAAAAAAGAAGTTCAAGGTAAAGGTATAGTGGTGCTTTACATGGAGATGGAGAGAGAAGAGATGAAGTAAAAGGTGGATCTGAGCTACACCCACGGCGGGATTTGGGGACTGCAGGGAATCAGCTGAAACAAGCCAGATGTTTGTCTTTTTTTAATTAATTAATTTTGTCTTTTTGAGACAGGATCTTGGAATGCAGTTCAGGCTGGCTTTGAGCTCACTTTGTAGCCTAGGTTGGTCTTGAACTCCCAACAATACTTACTGCCTCAGCCTCCCAAGTGCTGGGATTACAGGTGTGAGCCACTACATTATGCTGTGTGTGTGTGTGTGTGTGTGTGTGTGTGTGTGTGTGTGTGTTTGTGAAATTGAACTCATAATCTCGCATTTGCCAAGTAGGCACTTATGCTACTGAGCTAAGCCCCTGGCTTTTTTTTGGCGGGGGGGGGGGGCATGGTGGCACACAACCTGTAATCCCAGCACTCGGGAGGCTGAGGCAGGAGAATTGCTGTGAGTTCAAGGCCAGTCTGGGCTACAAAGTGAGTTCACAATCAGCCTGAACTGCATAGTGAGATATTATTTCAAAAAAGACCAAAAACAAAAAACAAACAAACAAACAAAAAACTTAGTAAATCCCTGAATGCCTAGAATACTGATTGCTTCTTTTCAAGTTAAGAAAACATCCATTTAATACTGCTGTGTGTCAGACACTGCTTATACCAGGTGAGGTTAGAGCCTACTCTGGCCTACTCAGAGCAAAGGATTCCTTTTTTCATCCTGAGTCTGCTTTGCAGTAATACTGAGCTGTTACAGGAGAGCGTTAGTAATGTAAATGTTCATGTATATCATACGCATTTGTACAGTTAATTCACAGAGCCCGAGCCAAGCAGCCTGAAGAGCTGGCAGTCTGCAGGCTGATGGCCTGGACCACACACTGACCTGTGCAGTTAGGCTGGAGTCCTAAGGAACCTAAGGCTCTTAAGGAACGCTCCGCCCCCATTTCTTAAGGTTTTGGGTGACACTTAAAGATGCCCAGCATCAGTGAGATGTGATGATGCATGCTGGGCAATTTACTGAGTTGGCCAGACTTTGTCTCAAAACAAAAAACAATTTTAGAGGACTGGGGATGCAGCTCCATGCTGACACTGGGTCTAATACCCGACACTGCACAAACAAACAAAGTCATGGGACCATAGTCCTGCCCTGAGTTGTGGGTCCCAACCAGACACTATCCCAGCCCTTCAGTGTCCTTCCACCCTTCCTAGACACTGCTGGACCCTGCAAGCTCTGAGTGTGGCTGCCCTGATCAGGGGGGAGCCCTGCAAACAAAGGCCAGCTGGCAGAGTACTAGGCTCCTGTCTACCCGCTTAGCTGCTGTGCAGCTGCCCGTTCTGGCCTCAGACTGCTGGGCGTCTGTGCCCTGGGCCTTACAGAAGGAGCCACATCCTCAGAGGTCGTTCTCGCTAAACAGCCACCTTGCCTTCATCCCTGGCATCTGCTGCCTTCCTGCTCTGAGAGGGTCACCACACTCTCCTGCAGGGGGGCTACATGCCAGGAGTCAGAGATAACGTGGGAGCTGGCATGGTAGTGCATGCCTATAACCCCAGCACTCAGCAGGCCAAGGGCGTGGGATCGCCATGAGTTTGAGGCCTGTCTGTAGTGAGTTCAAGGACAGACTGCAATATACAGCAAGACTCTTGTCTCAAAAAAAAAAAAAAAAAAAAAAAAAAACCACAGGAAGGGACATACGTGGAGCACCTTTCAGCCTGCTTGCCCCTAGGAGCTTGACAGTATCCTTCAGTCTTACGTGAGCTAGAGGCTGATGAAGGTGAAAAATTTCCCCAAAGTTGTAAAAGGTCTCTAGCCAGGCTCAGCAGTCCTGCGTCCCAGCTTGTCTGTAGCTCCTTTAGAAGACTGAGCGTACACCTATTTCCTCTCCTGTTTTTTCAATCAAAGCCAGGTAAGTAGAGGGGGTACATCCTCAGTGGATGCCTGAAACCACAGAGAAAAGCAAGCCTGTGCCTGTACCACGTGGCTCAGTGTCACCCACTAAGGAGCCACCTTTCTGAAAACTTCCTAGAAGCTCAATACTTTCTGCCACAACATGTCAGTATCAGTCAGAACACTGATTCTAGGGCTGCAGATATAGCTAAGTGGCATAAGCACCTTTTTGACAAGTGTGAGGTCTTGAGTTTGATCCCTGGTATGAAAAAAAAAAAAAAAAACCACACAGTTTCTGTGTATCAAGTCTTCTACCCACAAATGTAATGCCTTTTCTCTTAACTAAGCAGGTGTGCACTATGTAATTTTTCAGTGTGACATACAACAGAAAAACTAGTAAGAATTTTTCTTTCCTTCCTTACATTTGCAGAGAGAGAAGATGGATTCACAGATCTTAGCAACCAGGGCACACAGATCCTTGTTAACTCTAGAACTGTCCCCTTTTCACTTAAAGGAAGTACTTTGTGGCTTTTTCTTTACATATCCAAATCTCCACCATCACTGTTCTTATGCTTTGGGGCTGTTGATAAGTAAAATAGGGAACAGTAATCTGATAACGAAGATGATAACTAACAAGTGGGTAGCATATACAGTGCGGATACACTGGCCAAAGGTATGATTCACGTATCAGGTGGGACAGAGCAGAAGGAAGCTAGATTTGATCACCCTGCTGAGAATAGCACACAGTTTAAAACATGAATAGTTTATTTCTGCAGTTTTCCATTTAATATTTTCAGACCATGGTTGACCGCAGATAACTGAAACCATAGAAGAGAAAACTATGAATAAGGGGAGACTGCTGTATTTGGTTGAAAGCCTTTCTGCCTCTTTCCTACCTCCCTTCTCATTTCCCAAAAGGAATTGCTTGTAGCTGTTTGCTCATTCCTTCTAATGAGTACACTCTTCTTGTGGCTTCTTTTGGTTATCTCTTTGCGTTTCTAAATAGTGTGTTTCCATGGCTACGTTGTCATTCAGTCATCGGATTTGACATTGCCCCAATTTTCTGCTGTGGCATAGATAAGGATTTCAGTGTTCTTCACTTTTTGTCCCCCTCAGTGTTTAGAACAGAACTTTGCCTGTATCATTCAAAACTCAAATACTGCTGCAGGCAGCTCTGGGCTCAAAATGGGGCTGATCGCTGAGCAACCACATCTGTGCAGTGTGCAGAAGAGAAGGCCCAAGGGCTGCTCATGGGCGACTTGTGCTCCCACCCCGGGCTGGCTTCATGCAGACCCTTCTGCTAAGCTGGTCTCTGCATGCCAGCCACTTCTGTGGTGTGCTTTCATTCTGGAGCTTGTTCTCCTCAAATGTCAAGACAGCCTCTTGTTTTTGGACCAACGTGGAGGCTCACAGTGCACAGCCTCGCCAGTTGGACATGAGAGGCCTAGAAAGGTCAGCTCCCAGTGTCAAGGCTTGGAGGGTAGTGGACAGGGCCCCTGGTGAGCTCCCAACCCAGCTTGCAGCATTGATACCTCTTCTCCCGCCCTCCTCTCCACACCCCCCAGCCTGACTCCTCCTCCTTTTGTTTTTGTGTAGAATCTTGTTTCCTGTTCGCCCTCACACGCCAGAAGCTGCCCCCCTTTTGCCAGCAGGGGTACCTGCAAATGCAGGGCCTTGCGAGCACCGAGAGCCTTCGGAAGCACGGCGTGGAGAGCGGGCTCCTGCCAGACTATGCCACTACGGGCCAGGTCCTGGAGGATGGCAGTCAGCAGCCTGGTGACCGTGAGCCAGGGGGTCATCTTCCGGCTACAGGGCATCTGATCCAGTCCCTTGACAGCAGCAAGCAGGAGCTCTGACTGCCCTCTCCTAAGCTGCAGGCGGAGTGGCGCCAGGCCAAGTTGGGCCCCCTGTTACCTTGCACTCCCACAGACTGTGACTGCCAGAGACCATGCAGGTCCTCACCGTGGCCGCACTAAAGCAATCTTCAGGGCATATAAGGGCTGGCATGCCACACACAGTGGCCTTCCCTCCTGTCTTGGTCCCTGGGTGCCAAGTGGCAGGGTCAGGAGACAGGCATCTCTGCCAGCTGTGCACTGCCTTCCACAGCTGTCTTGTCCCCAGCAGATCATCACTGAGCACAGACCGACGCGTCTAGTCCCTTTCAAGGGCCCACCTGCTGCTTTTTCTTCTAGCCCAGCCCTCAGATGGACCTGGATCCTCTCTGGAGAGCATTTCACAGGTGAAACTCATCCTCATCTTCATAAGGGGTCGCAGCAGGTGCTTTAAAACAAAAGATTAATGTCCTCCATGTCCTGGGCAGTTGGGATTGTCACCCCCCAGAGTGCTGCGGAAGACCCCAGCCCGGGAAGTACTGTGTCCCTCTCAGAGTCCCCAGCCACAAGTGCCTGTCTGCGTTGTCCTCCTGCCATGCTGCCTCATCCATGCTTCATCACGCTGCCTCTCCCATACTGGTCCCTGCTTTTAGCAGGGTTTGGACTTCACAACAGAACCTAGCGGGACGGGGCTGGCATGGGGCAGGCGGATGCTCCCTGCAAAGCATCATCAAAGAACCTGACTGGAGCAGGTGCCTCCCTGAGCAGCAGAACACAGGTGCACAGAACTCCCTGGTCTCAAGATCACAGCCCTGAGGACATACCTGCGGCTCTGTGACCCTGCGGCCCGTGTCTGCCTGCGTCCAGCCCCTGCCCAGACAGGTTCAGTGAGGCTGCTTTTCCACTGTCCTGTTCACCGTGTGCAAGGAAACGTGCAGAGACTTTTGGAAGAAGCCATGCATTTGGCTCCTCGTCCTTGTTCTCAGTCGCCAGGCACGCACTCTCCCTTCGTGCTCAGTCGGCCTTGGGAACGTGTTTGTACACTCAGCAGTGGCTTCTCAGAGCCCAGGACCAAGGGAATTGCTTTCTTGCTGGTTGTCACTAGTTTTTCAAGGAAATGCGTAGAGTTCGAGAGACCGCAGGGGCTTTCAAGACCCCAGTCCACTTCCGGGGAACATCATCTTCTCTCAGTAGACACAGACCCGCAGCCCCCCATCTCTGGCCACTTGCAGGGGCCCAGCAGGCTTAGCCTGCTGGGAGGAACTGTTTGCCCCATGATGCCACTTGGGGAAGTTTGCACAGGGCCAAAATTCTGCTAAAATGAAGGATTTCTCCTTAATTCCAGGATGTGGAATTTCATATAGATTGAAGGTAAACCCCAAAGGGTGCTGTCACCCGCCCTGTGTCTCCCAAAGCATGCCGGAGATACCAGATTCTGTGCCACACCTCTCGCCCACGCAGTTGAGGCTGGCTGAGCCACTTGTGCCAATAAAATTGCGAGGCGCTCTAACAAGTAGCTGACTGACGCCTGAATTCGAGACATCTGCTGCTTTTTCCTGCCTCCGCCAAGTTGTCAGTTCCGTGAAAATATCAGTCAGTCTTATTTGTTTTTAATAAGGCAGAATTCCCTTCTTGCTCAGTTCATTAGAGGCGCCTTCCCTGATTCTATAGATGGGTAGTTGGTTCCCAACGGCAAAGCTCGTGGCTGTGCTTGCTGGGTCTCCAGCCGGACTCGCTCTAACAACCCCCTCCCCTTCTGTGCCCTCAGGTGCCATCACTTTAGGGTGCCATCTTTGGGTGGCTGCCACCTTCCTGCTGGGTTGGAGTCCCATTTTTAACTATTGCTTCACTTCCTTTTTTTTTGGTTTTTGGCAAGTCTAGACTGCCCTGTAGCTCCGCTCCTCTTTTCCAGCTGGCCCTAGTTCCCCTTAGTTAAAGCCTGGCTTTGTTACTTCCTTCCCTTTTTTTTTTTTTTTTTTTTTTTTAAATATGAGCAGCTACTGCTACAAAACAGACAAGTCAAGGAAATAATCACAATGCCAGAGGACAACTCTTAACGCAAATGAGATGATCTGAAGAAGAATCACAAACCAAGAAAAAAAGATTACACAGAACTTTGCCTGAAATGTTAGACCAGCTGGTTAGTAATTTGGGAAAAAAATTTTTTTTTTTTTTTTTTTTTAGAGTTTTGCTCTGTAGTTCAGGTTGGCTTTGAATTCACTTTGCAGCACAGGCAGGCCTCTAATTCACAGCAGTGGTCCTGTCTCAGCCTCCCGAGTACTGGAATTACAATTGTGTGCCACTACGCCAGGTTTGTTTTCATTTTGGATCCCTAGTTCATACTGTGAAGGTAATCTCAGATAAGATAGTTGAAGCCCTATAGAAATGGGTTGAGAAGGAGTACAGTACTCAAAGGACTTTCTAAGTCTAAAACAGTGGATTCCTCCAGGGGAAAATATTTAGCATTTCCAGGCACACTCATTCAGTCTTTACTAATTAATGTGACTATTTTAGAGGAAAATGATAAAAAGGAAAAATAGCATGGCAAATATAGCAGAATGTAACACAAAATGTATAAGTAACTGATGGAAGTAAAAGATCCAAAAGACATATAGCTCTGAAAATGATCGTGATGAAAGACCAGGTAATGTAAATGCACATGTCATCAAGATGGGAGGAAAAAACAAGGTTAAAACCAGTCCAAACTACCCGAATTACTTATAACTTAAAAACCCATGTAGCTGGGGCTGGGGATTTAGCTCAGCAGCATAAGCACCTGCCTTGCAAGCAGGCGGTTCATGAGTTCGATCCCCGGTACCGATAAAAAGTTAAAAAAAAAAAAAAAAAAGACCCACGTAGCTGAGCATGGTGACACACGCCTCTAATGCTGGCACTTGGGAGGCCGAGGCAGGAGGATCGCTGTGCCTGAGCTGCATAGTGAGACCCTGTCTCAGGAGGAGAGAAATCCATGTGCAGCAGAAAGCACTGAAAGGAGACGTGGCGGAATCTCAACAGTGGTTAGAGGAGTTAGAGGGGTTTTCTGTTTCCTCTTTTGGTCACGTTTTGTGGTTGTATTCTGTAGTGTAATAAGGACAGTTATTTTCCAAAAACTTCAAACTTCGAAGTTTGGGATTCCTGAGGCAAGTGGAACAGGATGCCTTCCTGGCAGACATGTTCTGCCTCCTTGACCAGGCAATGTCCTTGTGTCCGAGACGCAGCCACTTTCGAAACCCCACCGTTGGGAAGAGACAGTACCAAGGTCGGTTATGTGCTCAGCTAAATTAATGACCTGCAAGAGTGTAAGTTCCTCTCATGGAGGCTTGGCACTGATCGAACCCGCACAGTGGAGATCGCTGGAAACATCTTCCTTCTCAAGTGATAGAAAATAAAGGATAAAAAATCCTTAGTTGGTGAAGACTTCCTATGTAGAGCCCCAAACTCCTACTATCTGATAAAATCGGGGATAGTCTGCCCCGAAATGAATTCAGCAAAGTGAATTTGTCTGCCACGCTAATCGCAGTACTTAATCATTTACTGAGTGCCTGCAGTGTGCCCACAAACTCTGATACTTCTCTCTTATATCAGCTTTATGCTCCTATAACAAAATACCAGAGTCTGGGTACTTTGTGAAGAGAAAATGACTTTGCTCACAGTTTGGGAGGGTCAGGGGTTTCCACTGACGCCTGGCCAGCTCTGTCGAGGACACTTTAGCTGTGCCACATGCAAGAAGAGATCACATGACAAATCAAGAAGCCAGAGAACAAGGAGGAGCCAGGCTCGATCTTTCATAACTGGCTCTGGAGAGAACCACCAGCAGCCCTCAAGAACTACCTAAGTCTCTTCTGAGGGCAGGACCTGCAGCACCTGTCACCTCACCAGGCTGCACCTCGAAGGTTCCACCACCTCCCAGCATCACCACACTAACGAGCAAGCTCTCACCTCGTGAATTCTTGGGGGACAAAAGTCACACCAAACAGTAGCATTGCCAAAAGGGAAGGGCCTAATTCATGCTGAGGGTGGGCTGAGTTTAGTTATTCAACAGCAGGAGTGAATTATACAGACTGAATTACAAAGACGGGCATTCACCCATAGAGATTCGCCCACAGAGAGATTGTGTCTTCACCTCTCAAATGCTGCCCCCACTCTGGGGAAGGCTGTCCATCATGTCACAAAGAGATTCAGGCAGCCTGTGCAAAGGCCCATGTGGCAAGGAACATGGGCGTCTCAGGAGTCCTGTGGGTGAACGTGGAGGTGGATCCTACCAAAACCAAACCAGATGCAGCCCCAGTCAGCCACCAACACAGCCTCATGAGAGGTCCTGAGCTGGATCCACCCAACCAAGCCACTAGAGTCCTCACACATAATACAGAGAGTGAGAAAATACTCGCTACTTAAGGTGCTAAATTGAGGGGGGAGGTATTTGTTACTCAGCAGTGGATAGCTGAAACAGCCTCCGACCTACCAATGTGTTCTGTTCCAGGAGAATTGTTTGTAAGTAGGATTTATTCATAAGCTGACAAAGTGAGTCTTATAAAACAATACACCTGTGGGCTGGGGATTTAGCTCAACAGCATAAGCTCCTGCCTTGCAAGCGCATGGTCATGAGTTCAATCCCCGGCACCGATTAAAAAAAAATTTTTTTTTAAAAACTACACCTGTAATCTTAGCACTTAGGACGCTGAGCAAGAGGATCATTGTGAATTTGAGACGAGCCTGAGCTACAAAATGAGTTCAAGGCCATTCTGAACTGCATAGTGAGACTCTGTCCCAAAAAGACAAAAAAAAAAAAAATCTATACCTGTGAAAGTTAGGGAATTAGTATAAATACACTATGTGATTTACCTGTAGGATTTAAATTCTCAACCATATGAGGTAAACAACTATCCCCCTCGTCCTGGTCCCTTTCTTTTTGCTGGACAAACACACCATGAAGGCTCACATTTTCAGCCCACGGTGAGCTGGCTCCAAGACAGAAGTGGCGTGGTGAAAGGGCAGGGCATAGGTAAGCACCAGAAGCAGAGAAGGGAGGCCGGGCAGGGCCTGTGCACCCTTCCAGGTCACCCCCCCCCCCCGGCCAAGGCCCGCCTCCTAACAGGAAGTCAGTTATAAGGCCCATAATCCAGCCACTCTCTCAGAGCCCCACTTCTGAGGACGTGCAGCCTCTGGGGGACATTCTAGATCTAAACCATTCTACAGCTGAGGAACTGAGGCTGAGCACAGTTACACAGGAAGACAGAGGTGATGATCCTGGGAAAACTCGCTTTGTCCAACCCATCTTCTGGGTAGTAGCTGTCCCCACGTCAGTGGCAGCCTGCTCTTCATTGCCCTCCCATGGGTTTCCTTCATGGGGACAGGGTGACAATTAGTGAAGAGAAATAAAAAGGTCAAGTCTCAAATCCAGAAAGGGGTGTGGTTCCCCCAAGAGAGCAGAGAAGTTGTTGAAATTAAATCCTTACACAAGTGGTCCCAAGAAGAAAATTGGGTCTCAGGGGTGTAGCTCAGCTTATATAGAGCACATGCTTAACATTCGCAAGGCCCTGGACTTGATCAGAAGGGAAGGAAGAGGAGGGGGACCCCGACAGAGTGATAAAGGGGTGGGGTGACCCAAGGCAGGTGACAGCCTTGGACTCGACCACAGCCCTTGGCAGGCTCAGCCTCACTCAGTTCTGTCACCAGCGACATCAGCCCCCCTAAGCCAAACTGGATCTGTCCCTTGAAAATAAACCACAGCCTGCACCATTTCACTGCAGATGCTTATTTTTAAAATACGGTGAAAATGCTGACTGGGTAAGGGTTTTCATCAGACTGCAGGCTTTAAAAAAGCATTTAATTCAATCTGGCATTCCAGACGGGATGTAAATCTGCTGCAGACTGAAGCTGATGGGCAAATATGAGATGCTTCAGCCCAAGTGTTTAATCCAAGTACATCACACAGCCAATCCATCAACGCTGAAGTAAAAAATAGTGTGTAACAGATGTACATGCAGGGAAGGAAGGAACAACAGGCCCTCCTGTCTCACTCCTTTATGATGCTGCATAAATAAGCCCGATTGCCTGTCTTCTGAAGAAACCCCAAGCTCAGTGCTCAGTGCAAAATCTTTCAAAAAATCTGTCTCCTGCTTCTCCCTTATCTTTGAGATATTGCCATCTCAGACGCAGATTCTCAAGTTGTCCCAAATCACCAGAAAGCACTTAGATGCAGCAAAGCCCTCGCATCAGAGAAGATGACAGTGAAATATCTTGGGAGTGTTCAGTGTGTCATTATCTGTCATTTGGTTTAGAAATAAAGCAACTACAGAAACCTACAAGATGGTCTCCTTAACATCAGCCAGATTCAAGTTTGTGTTTTCTGTTTTGCAGTACTGGAGATGCGGGACAGAGCCCCTTGCGTGCCAGGAGGATGCTGTATCACTCAGCTACATCCCCAGCTCTGACTTTTTACTTTGAGACAAGAGCTTGCTACATTTCCCAGGAACTTGAGATCCTGTGGCCTTGATCTCTCAAATGTAGCTT